TTAATTACATAGTAATTGTGAGCTAGGAAGAAATGTTAAATGAAAAAGCAGAATGCAAAAGTATACATTCTGTGGGATGACAACTGTAAAAATATGTATCACAGAGACAAAGATTAGAAATAATAAAAAGTTAATATAATTATGTTATGTGGTAGTATGATTTTTTTCTTTTTTTCAAGCAGTTCTCTACTTTTTTTAGTTCATTGTTTTGAGTAAAACAAAACCAAAAACTTCTCTCTCCGTGGTACAGCATTTCTTTCAGAACTGGAGATTAGACAGACTTCCCTTGGTTAGCCTGCGAACCATTCCTGTAGTTCATTCTTCTTGCCCTGGCCTATGGCCTTATGTTAAAGTGGCACACAATGACTGTTACTTTACTTGTACACCATAAACTTAGAGCAAAAATGACAGAGTACGTATCCAATGCCAGTTCAAATAATTGATCAGTATATGCAGCCTATGTTGAGACAAATCATGAGAGAGCAGCAGAAAGAATGTCATGATCCATTAGCATTGTCTGCCCATGGTCGTAGGAAGGGAAATTGGGCACATCTGCTATCCATTTGCTCTCCCTGACTTCTGACCACTCATCCCTCTTGGCCACAGCTCCTCGCCAACCTTACTCTGCAGAGGCTTGAATCTCTCCTCATGACTTGTTTCTCCTTCCAGATTATCACCTTTAGGGACTACCTACCCATTGTGCTAGGTGCTGAGATGCAGAAGTGGATCCCTCCCTACCAAGGCTACAATGAATCTGTGGATCCTCGAGTTTCCAATGTCTTCACCTTTGCCTTACGCTTTGGCCACTTGGAGGTCCCTTCTGTGTTTTCCCTCCTGGATGAGAATTATCAGCCATGGGGGCCAGAACCAGACCTCCCCCTGCACACCCTCTTCTTCAACACCTGGAGGATGGTCAAAGACGGTATGTCTTTTCAAGAAAGCACTGTCACCTGGCTGTCTCGCTCTGCAGCCTCCTTCTGGAAAAACCTGGCTTGGAATCAGATTCCAGGCACTTCCTGTGTGATCTTGGGCAAGTGAATTCACCTCACTGAGCCTCAGTTTCCTCATGTGTAAAATGGGGACAATAATAGTACCTATCTCACTAGGATATGCAAAAAGTTGAGTGAAATATACATGTAGAGCATCCCACAATGGTTCCTGACACAAAGGAAGTGGTCAATAAATATTGATGATTATTCTCTCTTTCCTCCTCTGGCCTCTAAGGGGCCTGGGTTTTCCCTGCCTCAGGTTTCTCTAACCCCTATAGAAAGAACTCATGAGGTTAGTAAATAAGCTGTTCTTTTCTATTGTCTTCTAGGGCTTTCCACCTCCATCAAATGCCAAAGGTTGGACCCAGCTTCCCTCTGTCCTGGGTTGGACTGTTGAAACTGGCTTTACTTAAGGCCTGACAAGTCAGGGCCATTTCCTATAGACTTGTGCTACTGCTTCCCTTGCTGCCAAGTTCTTCAGGGGAGCACAGAGAAGGATGCAGCCAACTCTCTGAACTAGAGCTCCAGAAAAATCCTGGAGCTTGTATTCACGCCATCATCCCAGGAATGCCCCTTTTTCCAGCCCCAGAAGAGGCAGCCTGAGCCGCCCCCACCCACAGCACACCCTGCAGGCTGCAATCTGCTCTTCTTTCCCTGCTTCCAACCGGAGGCGTTCAGCTGGCCCTACTTTCACCCAAGAGGAACTAAGGGCAGGCTAGCAGTGGACACCCCCACTCTACCCCGTCCCCTTCTGGGTCTCCCTTGCAGGTGGAATTGACCCTCTGGTGCGGGGCCTGCTGGCCAAGAAGTCCAAGCTGATGAAACAGAATAAAATGATGACAGGAGAGCTGCGCAACAAGCTTTTCCAGCCCACACAGAAGATCCATGGCTTTGACCTGGCCGCCATCAACATACAGCGCTGCCGGGACAATGGGATGCCTGGTGAGTGGCCTGGAGTATTTTTAGCTACTTTCTGGGGGTCCAGGGGACTCCTTTCTATAACACTGAGGATCTGACTATTTCTAAAACAGAAGACAGAGATGCTGTTTTCTTAAACTCACTTTACTCATCTGTGAAATGGAATCTTCCATCTGCCTGATGCAGAGACAAGGGAACGTACCTAGTCTACCGCAGAGCTCCTCAGATGAAGACAAGACCAGCAACCAACTTGTAAAACTAGTTTAAAAGCCTAGAAAAAAAGTTAAGAAAAGGAGACTAGAAAGAAGCCCATAACGATTGAACCTTTCTTTTGTACTCATGAAAGGCAATTTAATGTCATAATTTAGAGCCAGACTGCCTGGGTTCAAGTCCCAGCTGTGCCATTTCTAGTGAGGTGATCTTAGGCAAGTTACTCAACCTCTCTGCTCTTCAGTTTACATGTTTGTATGGTGTTTACAGTGGTGTCTGGACCCATAGTAAGCACCACATAACTTGCTAGCCCTCTTGAGATAGAAGTACCGCTGGTATAAAACAATGGATCTCCAACCACCCCGTCCCAAATGCCCTGAGTCCGGACTTTCTGGGCCTGATGGAGCTGGAGTGGGTATGTCCACAGGGGAGGCTGCAGATGAGAAGTCCCTCAGAAGAGACAGCTTCAGCCTCTCTGCTCTAGGGTACAACTCCTGGAGAGGCTTCTGTGACCTCTCACAGCCCCAGACACTGGCGGAGCTGGGTGCTGTGCTGCGGAACAAGATGCTGGCTGAGAAGTTCCTGGATCTCTATGGGACCCCCGACAGCATTGACATCTGGATAGGGGCCACTGCTGAGCCCCTGGTGGAAAGGGGCCGGGTGGGGTCTCTCCTGGCCTGCATTCTGGGGAAGCAGTTCCAGCAGATCCGTGATGGAGACAGGCACGTGAGACCTCAGTGAGGAGGGTGGGGGGAAGGCCCTTCTTCCAGGTGGGGAGTCCCAGTGTCCTGCATGTGGGCTGGCCTAGACCTCAGTATGTGCCTGGTGCCTGTCTCTCCTCCCCTGTGCCAGAGTGGGGAGGAAGAGGCCCACAGCTGGGCTGTATGGAGACACCCTGCTTCCGTCTCTGCAGGTTCTGGTGGGAGAACCCTGGGGTCTTCACAGAAAAGCAGCGGGACTCTCTGCAGAAAATGTCCTTCTCACGCCTTGTTTGTGACAACACCCACATCACCAAGGTCCCACTGGACCCATTCCAGGCCAACAGTTACCCCCGAGGCTTTGTGGACTGCTCAGACATTGATAAGCTAGACCTTTCTCCCTGGGCCTCAGTGGAGAATTAGGGGCCTGGACTACACAGCCTCCCACTCTGGGCAGTAAAGCTCCCTTTGGTGCACGATGCCATTTAAAGCAAGTTCAGTGCCCGGACCCATTAGAGCTCCACACCGCAGGCCCAGTACTCTTCACCCAGGTTTCTCTACACTCAGCAGGGCCATACTTCACTCAAGCCCAAGGCCAGCCGCCTCAGCCTTTCCAAATCTTCCACTTGAATCCCACTGCTCCCACCATGTCCCCTCTACTGTGGAAGTCCCCCTTTCTGGCATAGCATAGGCCCTCTGAGATGCCCTTCAAGTCTAGCTTGCCAGACATCACCCATCGTCTCCCTGAACAAGTCTTGGCTGAGGCTGTAGGCTCTGCATGCTTATCTTTCCTCCCTTCCTCTCAAACTGGACTGTAAGCTCCTTGAAACAAGACGTCTGTCTGCCTCCACGTGTCTACCGTGCCACCCAGCATAGTGCTGGGCACACAGTGAGTGCCCAGTAACACCTGATGATTGACTAAAGATGCTGGCAATGGCACTGTGCCCTTCCAGAAGGCAGGCCTTGGAATCACCACCAAATAAACTAGATGTTTACCGTCCAGACGTGTTGTGTCATTAAGATGTGGCATGCCCAGGTCTGTGGGGTAAGAGGGCATGGTCTGATGGGATTTCAGAGAGCTCCTGAAGAAAAGGAGGAGGCTAGAGAGAGGACTGGAGATGGTGTCAAGGGCTAAAACGAGGAGGAAGTCCAACCTACACTGCCCTCCAGTGAGTTTCCCTTGCAGAAGCCCTCCTGGGAAGTATGGGGTGGTCCCTGGAGCCTGTGAGGCTGCTGAGGGGGCCTCTCCAGAATAGTCCTTGTATTGCTGCCCAATACAGATTCATGTTTTCATCTTTTAAAATACCCTTCCAGGTAAGGGCAGCCCCCCTGACTGGGGGTGAGCGTGGGGGTGGAGGCACAGGCCTTCCTGTGGGAATCAGCACTGGCTCTGGCACCCAACCTCTTCAAGGCCCTGGATGCGTCCCTTGGCCTCTCTGAACACTCCTCTCATCGGCAGTGAATGCAGATGAGTAGTGATTTATCCTGAGGGTCTAATATGGCCTGGGGCTCACCCCTTCAGCTTCCTGGATACAGTACCCCTCCCCAAAAGTGGGAAGAAGAGGAGGGAGGGAATCCACCAGGCAGAGATAGGGGGAAAATACCCTCCTTCCCTCCCTCAGCTCTGACCCTGTCCTCCTGGGCCCAGCCGTCTGCTGTCCCTGTCCTGGGAAGCTGGCCATGTGAAGCCAGGACCAAGGATGAGTCTACTGTTCTGAGGCTCTGAACCACTGGGCCAGGTGGCAGAGGTGCAGGATCTCAAGGTGCCCTGTTGCCTGGAGGGGCCTACCTTTCCATCAGACCTCTGCTCCTTCTCTCCCACAGGACAACGCGGTGACCCCTCTTTTCCCCAGTACCTGACTCAGGCCCGACACAGAGTGAACATGCAGCAAATACCAGCCAGAGCAATGAGTGAATGTGAGGCTTGGTGGCCATGGCTCCTGTTCTCTGGGTCGTGTGGATGGAAGCTGAAGGAGGAGGTTCTGCTTGGTTTGGCCTGGCCCATGGGTTTCTAAGAACTGACTGCCTTCCATATATGCCACAGGAGGACTCCTGGGTTTCCTCACCGCCCGTTCACAAAACACAGGGCCCCAAGGCTCAGACCCCACTGGTTCATGTCCAGAGCCCAGAGCAAGCCTCATGCTGAAGCTCCAGCCCCACTGCAAGCATAGACCGAGTAAACATCTCCTGCAGTGGTGCTTTATTATAAAAAATGTCAGGTACAAACAAATCATACAAAAGGGCCAACAGGCCCAACTTCCTTTCTAGGCAGGCTCCTGTGGGTAAATGAGAGAACAGGGTAATGAAGGAAAAGGGAAACTATGGACTGAGTCTGGCTTTCCTGAGCCCATTACTCAACCACCACACCCACCCCAGCTGCTAATGGCCCTTCCTCCGGGGCCACTGGTTCCCCTCAGCTACCTGGAACACTGTCCAGGTGTGAGCTCCATCTGGACAGAAAACATGCTCTGTATGTTTCCCATGCCCAGCGCAGTGCCCATTGGATAGTAGGTGCTCAATAAACAAAGTACTAGTGGATGCAAATGGGGGCCTCTGAGGGGCCATGTAGCAGGTATTTACAAAGCAGAAAACTCAGGCTTAGAGAGATTCAGTGATTTGTTGATGATCAGACAGCTAGTAAGCTGCAGTCAGGATTTGAACCAAAGCAATCTGGCCCCTGAGCCTCTGTTCCTCACTGACCTACTCTGCTGCCTTCTGTACTTAATACGTAAGCAGCAAACACATGCTCACAAAAGCAACACACATACACAGCACACAAAACACTACCTGTGTTCACAGACAACACACGTATGAAATGCAGTTTATTTACATTGCAGGCACACACAAATGAATGTCTAGTCACTTATTTTCCCAGCTAGCCACCAGAATAGAGATGGGCTCCCCTAAGAAGGGCCATCCCTGTGGTTCCAGCTGTGCCCAGGATTCACCTCACCATAGCACTGCCTTACCCAGCCACTAGTCTGCATTCCTCCAGGGAGCCAGGTCCAGCGGCGGGAGTGCACTGCAGCTGACAAAGTCCCGAGGGAACGTGTTGGACATGAAGATGTTGTCCTTGGACACAGTGGTGATCCCCGTGTTGTCACAGATGATGCGGGGCAAGGAGATATTGGCCAGGGCCTGCTGCTGCCGTGCAGTGAACACACCTGTGTTCTCCCACCAAAACCTGTGCCATAACACCCACAGACCATGACCTGAGGCTCTCCTGGGCTGGGAGGGCATCAGCTGCCCTGAGCTGCTCCCCAGATGCAAGAGGACCACAACACCCCAGCTGGCTCTACAGCACAGATGAGCTCCAGGCCCCACTGACAGCTCAGAGCAAAGCACAGCTGCCCCTTGGCTCCCCCTTTCCCCTGCCCAGAGGCCTCTGGGGTGCCACGAATGCTAGACAGGCTGCTGAGCCCAACCTCACTCACGAAGCCCTGTGCCCTGGTCCAGCGCTGCAGCCACAGAGGTGGAGAGAATCTTGGGGGTACATTATTATTTGTCCATCAAGGGAGGGACCTTTATCACGGCTGGGTGAGAACTGAGTACGATGGATACCAGCACCCCAGGGAAACAATACCAGGAGAAGCCGAGGAAAGCAAGGATGGCCCTGCTCAGTAGTGATTGACAACTCTGTGGCTGCACCCTAAAACCTTAAGAGTGGCATTTTCTCTGTCTTCCCTCCTTAGGGATGACCTTGAGGCTCCCTGGAATACACCGGAAAAATCAGATTTCTCCCAGCCCTACCAAGAGGTTCCGGAGCAGCCCCACAGGCACATGGGCCCGAGCCGCCTGGCCTGCCTCCTCACCGGTCGCCGTCACGGAGCTTCCTGAACTGAGTCCCGATGAGGCAGGCGAGGAGTGGGCCCACACGCCCGTTGCGCTCTAGGGGCTCGGCCACACCGCCCATCCAGATGTCAATGTTGTTGGGTGTGCCATACTGGGCTATCAGCTTCCTCGCCAGGTTCAGGTTCCTTAGCACCGTAGCCAGCTCATTCACCGTGCTGGGCTCCGAAAGCCCACAGAAGCGCCTCCAGGCATTGTACCCTGCATGGGGGTTGGACAGAGGTGGATGCGGGAGGGTCCCAGAAAACCCAGCTATCCAATGCATGGAGACCATATGTAGAGGTACATGAGGGAGGGGAGGATGCGGAGGGGCTTCTCCTAGGCTATAAAGCCTCCAGGGAGTCCCGAAGTCTTAGCTTAGGCCAAGGAGACAGCTGGGTCTCTCCAGGTCTCTCTTTCCCTTGTCTTCCCACCCGAGAGCAAATCCTAAATTGCCGTAAGTCCTGCCAGGCCTAAGAATAGGAACATCTCACTGTCCCCTGGAGACCTCAGACTAGTGAGGACTGAAATGTGTCTAGAAGGCTCAGCCACAGCAGCTGTCCCACAGCAGGCACAGACAGGCTTTGGGGTTAGCCTGATCTGGGTTCACAGCTGGGGGGAGAACCTGGGCAAGTTCTGTATCTCCGCAAGCCTCAGTTTCCTCACCAGTAAAATGGAAGTGATAATAATCTGCTCCCCTCACAGTTGATATAAAATGAAGCAAAATGAAGCATGATGGAGACAGGTTTTTCAGACTGGGGGTGGGGCTAGGGGGTTTTTTGTTGTGGTGATGATGCTTCAAGTTTGAGGGCAAAACAGTGCAAAGGAGGAGTGGAAAAGGGATACACAGGCTGGGGGAGGTGAGGCCTGACCTCCAACTGCTTCCTCCTGTTGGGGGAGCTTTGGGCAGCAGGAGGCCCTAGAGAGGGTAGCAGCCAGAGTGGGAGGAGGGGAGGGGGGAATCTCCCGCAGCTCCGCACCTGGGAGGCCGTGGTCCCGGCTGCGCTGCATGTTCAGAGCAGGCAGGTCCAGCCCGATCCTCATGACCTGCTCAAACAGCCTCTCCCGGATCTCATCCACCACGATTTGGTTCTGGCGATTCAGCTTGGCAGGCGTGGCCATGAGGCCCCGGAGGATGGGGTCAATGCCACCTGGGGCAAGAGCAGCAAGGTTGGGTGTAGGATCTGGCTCAGTACTAGAGGTCATAATTGGAGTCAGGGACAAGTCCAAGGTGCAGTTGGGGGAAGTGCAGAAGAGGGCTGGGCACAGGCAGCTAGCTCCTGGTGCCAAGGTGGCCCCAGTGGTCAACTCCTCAGTTGCGCACTGGTCTCAGGGAATAATGCCATTCGGACTTGCAAGGTTGGGATGCACCCAGTCCCTGGCCTCCTAGGTTTCTGAAAGTCACAACACACAGGAAGGAGCCAGCTCCCTATCAGCTACCTCCACCCACCCTTTATTATTACATGCAAAAGAAAAGTCAGCTGAACTGAGGCTGGCAGGTCAGGTTGAATCTCCAAAGATGGAAGGAAAGAGGATTGCTCCTGCCCTGGCTCCCTGCGGCCAATCCCACCTCCACCACAGCCTCAGCTGCCACCTGGTTGAGGTCCCACTCACCTTCCAACACTACCCTCCAGGTAGCAAAAAAGACCTTGCTGAGGGGAACTCGGGGGTTGGGCCCCATGGGCTGGTACTGGTTGTCCAGGCGGAACATGAAGGGCTGGATGAGGGTGTGGCCGTAGCGGAAGGCATTGGTGAAGACATTGGCGATGCGAGGGTCCACTGAGTCATTGTAGCCCCGGTACCTAGGCAGGTACTTCCTCATGGCCTCTGGCCCCAGCACCAGGGGCAGGTAGTCCCGGTAAGTGATGATCTAAAGAAAAATCACTCAGAATGGCTTCTCCACTCACTCTCCCTGCAGAGTCTCCACCTCCTGCTGGTTTGGGGGATCCCTCAGCCGGGGTTTGCCTCCCACAGCACCACATCTGGCTCTAACAGAGTGGCCTGGAGTGGCATAAACAGAGCTCTTCTGCTTGCCTGCTGTGTGACCTTTGGGGCCAGTTATTAACATCTCTGAGCCCCAGATCCTCAAATATAAAATCAAGGATAATTATGCTGCCCTCTACCTTAGAGGATTAAATAACAAAGGGTTTTGCTAGTCACTCCTTTGCCCTTAAATTATTAATATCTCATTTGTTTTACTAATCTATAAGCTCTTTGGGAGCTGGAATTGATCTCATTTTCCTAGAAATTACTCAGTGCCCAGCAAGTGCCTGGCTCACAGTAGGATTCAATATATGTTAGTGGAAGGAGAGGAAGCAAAACAGAAAAGGGCCACCCTAGATGATTTTCTCCAGTAAAAAGAGAAGATACGGAACAGTCTCACTCCAGCTTCTAGACTCTAGAATTTCTTCAGAGGCTTAAAGGAATCTTACTTCAGTCCTCAGCACAAATCAAAAACTCTCCCTCAGTACCTGCAACGCTCTCCCCCTCCAGAGTCTAGCAGTATTAGAAAGCTGTGCATGGGTTTGTGGGTGTGTATTTGTGCTGATGTCTTGGGGAGAGGTTGGGGGTGGCTGGAGCATCAAAACTTGGGAGAACCAGGAACACTTCACAGGGATAAAAGAGGATAAGGGGATTCGTGAGCTAGAACAGAGCCAAAAAGAAGAGGTGAGTGGGCAAAGGGGCCAAGAGAGCAGGGAGATGAAGGAAAAGAGCGGCATCTACAGCACAGCTACTATGTGCCAGGCACTTCAGACCCACCTGCTTAACCCTCCCAATACTACGCCTGATGGACAAGAAAGAAGAAAGGGGATTGAGCCTGGGAAGGAAGGATGGGAGGCAGGTGAGCCCTGTCAGGCACTTAGTATCCGCCAGGTGTTTTCATTACATCCTTTGATCTCTACAGCATCATGTATGAAGAAGTTGAGGCTCATGGTTTCACCTGCCAGGGTCATACAGGATGTGGCTGGGACACATTTGGAGCCTACGCTTGCCTGACCCCTGGTATCTCGGATACTCGTGACTGCCTACCTGGACCATGGCTCCCACGATCTTCCGGGCTTCTTGGTAGAGCCTCTCTCCATCCCAGAGCGGGTTCATGCTCTTAAGCTTTGTGGCCAGTCGATTGTGCTCCCTCAAAAAGAGTGTGTGCATGGAGGTGAGCTCGGGCATCTCACTTGAGCGGGTGTCCCCTTGGGGAAAAATATGCTACTGTCATTCCTAAGACTTCCATCCCAGAATGGATTTGCTCCATGGAAACTCCCTCCCCAGCCAAGGCCTAAAATGCCCCCAACCCAGCCTTCCGCTCCACCCATCTTTCCACACCACACTTGGTTTACACCTCCCTTAGAAGGCTTCCCTTGTGGCCCCAGTCCACCTTAATAGTTTGTTCCTCTGTTTAGATGCACAGCTGGTTGGAGATGCCCATCAGACATCAGATCTGACACATGACTTGCCACCTTCTCATACCTGAGACTGGGAGCTCCTTGAGGATAAGGATGATGGCCTGTGCCTCTTTGTGCCTGACCCTTCCACCCAACTCACAGATAGACACGTGCAGTTGAACACTGCCTGGTACTAAGTAGGTGGTCCACAAAGGCTGCTGGTTGACTTACTCTCCTGTTTCATGATGGCCAAGAAGTGGCATGCTGGTCCACTTCAGACACAGCTAATGACCACAGCACTCTGGCTTGCTAAAATTGGATAAAACCTCAGAATCCTTCTCAACTCAGGGATCTAGAAAGCCACTAACATCTGATCAGAGTTGCCATCCCCATGCTTACAACATGCTAACTGTGCATCTGCTCAGGGGAGGGGTTTAGGGTGCAGGATGCTTGCAGCCCATATCTGAGACAGTTCAAAAGAACTGAGAGAGACTGCTGAACCCTCTAATCCTCCCCAACCCTCCTTTGGAAGGACCAGAGAGTTAGGGCCAGGCCCATACCAGTGGGATGCTAGGTTCAGTCCTAACCAGCTCTACAAGCTGGTGGGAAGAAAATTCTCTGAGAGCAGCTTTTCCATCCCATGAGCTGCCAGAGGGACATGCTGCTCAACTCTAGGCTGGAGGCAGCCACAAACAGCTAAGGAATGCTCTTCTTCCCTCACTAGCCCAGAAAAGTCCACACTGGAGCTGACTGTGATTCTCTTCTCCACTGGCACCCATTCGATTCTCCTCCCCAGAGCTCAGCCAGGGGAGTGACTATCTGGAGCCACCAGGATTTGAGGCTGGGAGCTGCAGAGGGAAGGGCCTCAGCCCCATGATCGGGTTTACATTAAAAACCATTGGAAAATTGCTGGGCATAGGCAACATCCCTGCCCCAGTTGTAACCCCAGGAGTGCCAGTTGTTTAAATTTAAAATCCCACCCTTTCTTAATGCAGGGAATCAAGATGAGCAGGAGGTGACATTCTGGAACAGCCCTGAATTGATGAAAATGCCCTACATCTGTGCTGCCCTATACGGGAGCCACTCGCCTATGAGACTACTGACCCCTGGAAATGTGGGCTGTGCAGTGCAGGAAACAAATTTTTAATTTAATTTAAATTAACTGACGTTTAATTGAAAATAGCCATATGTAGCCAGTGGCTACCACATTGGATAATACGGCCCTACAGGGTGAGGGACCCACGTTGCTCTCTGTCCCTTTAGTTCCCCCTTTCTGAGAGACTCAACTCTTTTCTCTGCCAGAATCCAGAGAGAGAGAGACAAAGAAAGGGATGGACAGATCCTCAGCTATCCCCAAGTCTCCTTCTTAGATTTGGATTTTTGTTCTTTGTAGTTGCTTTTTTGCCGGGGGCAGGGGTTATTTTTGTTTTTGTTTTGCCTTTCTGGCTCCATCTAACTTGTCACCAAGGCAACTGGCCTAACATCACTGAGGCTTGTAAGGACAAAGCCTGAATACAAACTCACAGGCTGCTCTGCAGCTCCAGCAGGGAGCATGCCTGCACCACCCCAGGTTCCCATGCAGGCTGACCTGCCAGGAAGCAGGGGATGTGCACTGAGCGGTTGGTGAGGAGGCAGGGGTCATCATGCAGGTTGTCAAAGGGCAGCAGGGCCCGGCCATTGTCACTGAAGTTGGTGTTGACATTCAACAGCCCCAGTTGGTTGGTCAAGTTGCGCAGGTTCATGGCCAAAGGGTCCTCACTGCCGTATACCATGCTGGCGTCCACGAAGGAGGTGAGCGCATTGATCTGGTTGCGGATAGTGATGCTTCCTGAACAGGCTGGGCTGGAGCGGAAGAAGGGGATGCAGTCCTGTTGGTTCATGATGCGGGGGTCGTTGGGTGGGATCTGCAGGACAGAAAGGGATCGGGCAGCTCATCGAGGGCAGGGAAGTGGGCAGGAGCAGCTCCCCCAGGCAAGCCTATGAAGGCTGTGATCCCACCTGGAGCCCAGGACCAGAGGGGGAGACCCAAATATGCAAATAAGGCTTCCTCAGAAGTTTCTCAGGTCTCCCTCCATCCGCAGGGAGGCCTCTCAAGGATTCCAGCCTGAGGTTCCACCAGTAGAGCATGACTGAGCCTCGGGGGAGAGGCTAGGAATATGGGGCTCCCTGGAGGTGGGTGGGGGGGTCCTCGGGCCCCTCTGTCTAAACCTCTTCTCTCTCTCCTGGCTCTGCCCCTCCCTGCCCTGCCCTCAGGATATGGTCTCCTGCTCTCAGCCACCCCCTCTTCCTTTTTCCTTCCCTCTTCCTGCCTGTCTCCCTTGTCCCTGTCCTGGCTCTCACCCTGGCCCCGTCTTTCTCTCCTCTCATTTCAGTCCTTGTCTTTCGGATTCTCCTTCCTTTCTCTCCTCCTCTCCCTACTCAGCCTGAGCCTCACCATCCAGTCCACTCAGCCCTGCTGAGACCCCACAACCCAGGCTCGGGGTGTAGGGCCACGGTGCCCCTCTGTGCAGAGGAAAGAGGACTGAGCACGTGCACTAAGGACAGGTTTGAGGAGCAATGGGACAGTCAGTGCGCAGCCCAGGGGTGGGAATGGGGAGGTGGGCAGGCAGCCTTGCTCAGGATCTGGGGAAGGAAAGCTGGGCAGAGGGAGTGGCTGTTTCCAGGAATAATGCCCCTCTTCCCACCAGGGGTCGGGGGTAAACGAGGGTGGCAAGAGGAAGGGAGCACCTTGAGCGGAAAGCAGGGCGGCTGCTTCAGGCAGCTGGTTTCACAGTTGACGCCAGTGATGAAAGAAACACGGGCAGCTGGCTCGGGGCTGAAGTCGAGGTCGTGGTCGATCAGCTGGCCCCACTGCATGAACATGAGCGAGCGCTCCTGGTCCGGGGTCAGCTGCTCCGTGGGGAAGCGCACGATGTCATTGGAGACGGCGCGTGCCTGCGGGACACCGAGGGTCAGGGCCAGGGCCGAGGGGCCGAGGGGCCGGGCCTTGCCCCCTCTGCGGGCTAGTGCTCACCAGGGGCACCCTGAAGCCGCTGCGCCTGACCCCGGGCGTCCAGCCGAAGGGCAACGAGACGCCGTCCTCGTACTCGGCGGGCAGCCAGCGCGCAAAGGCGCGGTTGGAGGCCCCCAGCGTGGAGCTGCGTCTGCAGGGGAAGGACAGGGCACTGACAGTGGCACGGCGCCCTGGGGGCCTGGGATGCCGCCCTGAGTGGCCAGCCAGCCCCCCGCGGGCCACGCGCCAGCGGCCGCACCTGTTGTTGCAGTGCCCCGTGATGGTGCGGTACTGGTCTCTCTGCGGGCAGGTCACCCTCACATTCTGGTAGGCGCAGCCACTCGACCTGGACAGCAGATCCAGCTGGGCGGGTGTCAGCACGTCTGCAGGCAGGGAAAGGGGGGAGTGGGAGCTGAGTCCCCCATTTGCTATTCCAGGCTAGGGAGCCTTGGATGGAGGAAGCAGTCTGAAGACATGGGGAGGGAACAGGCTTGGATGCCCCTGAGACTCCCTGGAAAGAGGACTTGGGGGAGTCACTGGGAGGTGGTTAGGGTCACTAGTGGAGCAGGGGGCTGGGGTTGTAGGAGTAACAGTACCAGTGACGTTGAAGGGTCGTGGCCACAGGGGCTGCAGCTTCCTCTCCAGCAGGCCTAGGGCTACATGCAGATAGTCAGCAGCCCTCACAGCTGTCCTGGTGGCGGCCACTGGCTGCTTGAAGTAGGACAGGAGGTCCATGGGGCTGGCAGAGCCACTGCGAAGCCGCTGCTTGAGGCTGCTTGGAGAAGGGAGGAGTGATGGCCGGAGGAGGCAGGCAGATCCCTCAGCGGGGCCCCAGCCCAGGGGAAGGACATGGGACAATATAAACAGACCCACAGACAAGGTTTGTCTTTATAAACAGGGTATGGACCTAGGTATCTAGACAGAGGCAAGGTCACGGGAAGGATGGTTTCTGAAGATGTTCTCACACCTAAGGACACCAAGACTGACAGACAGAAGGCCCCACCCTGCCCACTAACTCCTCATGCCCCTTCCTTCCCTGATAGCCCTGGGGCAGCCCTGCCCAGAGCTGGGCAGGGCCAGGTGCCCCACCTTTCCCGCCGATCCTTGTAGGCCTTGTCCACTAGCCGCTTGGCCTCCTCCATGCAGGTCAGCACCATCAAGTTCTCCACCTCTCCCGTGACAGCTGCCCAGAACAGCGGTCACAAGGTCAGCAATATGCCCAAAGCCCCCCATAGGCCCCAGAGCCAGGGTGGCCTGCCCTGAGGAAGGGAAGCCCTGAGACTCGGAACCACCCCCAACATGCCACCTTTGGGCGTCTTTTTGAGCCGTTACCTGGGGCAGCACTCTCAGCGGGCTGGGGCACGGCCAGGACAGCCAGGAGCCCTGCGAGTGCCGGGAGCAGCTTCATCTCTGCAACAAGACCCCAAACCCAGTAAGAGTGCACAGCCCACAGTGCACTGGGGAGAGAAAGCCCCACACTCCCTGCTCCCAGACCCTCACTCCCACCTGCACACTCTAGGCCCACCTCGGTGTGCCCTTCCTAGGAACAGTGTCCAGGCCTCCTTGAGGGAGGGTCCACAGCACCTTTCCTTTGCTAGCTTCAGTCAGTCACCCCCCAGGGTCCCCCTCCAAAGCTCCCGTGTCACTGGCAGCACCTCTCAGCTGAATCCAGGCTTTTATGTCCCCTGAGCTGGGGAGGGGCGGGGCAGATGAGCCTGCCCTTGCAAACTGACCTCTGCCTCCTCCCCGCTAGGTTGGGGTGCACAGAAAGAGGTCCCCAAAGGACGAGTGGGGTAGGAAAGGAGGGGCTGGAACTGTTCCTAGCTTTGAACTCAGCACCCCCACCCCCAGAGTTTCTCAGCTTCCCATTGTGTGCCCAGACCAGTGCTGTCCCCACGGCAGACAGACAACTAACCCCTGCAAAATTCTGACTAAGTTGAATATCCAGGGTTCCTTTGAAAGGAATAATAGTCAGGAAATAACAGCCTGAGTAATTATGGGAAATAGAAGAAGGAGTAAAGGGGAAGGGGAGACCTGGAGTGTTGCTGATCCCCCACCCCAGCAGTAAGCTAGCCACTGTGGCCAACCCTGGTGGGCGGCCCCCTGTGCCTCCCATTCTTGGCAAGGGTTAACGGGACAGGAAACCTGGCTGGAGACCGTTGGGCTTCACAGGAAAGAGGACCCTGGGGGCTACGGGCTCAGGACAGGGGTAACTTCCTCTCCATCTCTCCCCCTCCCCTTTCTTCCTGGCGTTGGTAGGGGGCTGTCTCCAACGCCCTTGCCTTCTGCTCAGGGGGTTCCAGAACCAGGAGAGAGCAGGGCTGGCTGTGGTCAGTGTGCAGCTGTGTGATGCAGCCCTGGGCCTCTGTGGGACAGGTTCAGTGCAGTTAGGGGCTTGGGTTAAACTTTAGGATCTGAAATAGAAGAGGGGGAAGTTTCTTCTTCGAAGAAGTCTGGCAAAGGGGCCGGCATTCTCAGGCAGGAAGGGTATCCTGTGACTGACAAGGTGTTTGTCCACCTCCCTGGCCCCTCATCAGGCTGGGCACATGCCACTCGTGGCTCCTTTGTCGTCTGGTCTAACCACACCTCCTATTTCACCCGCCTGCCCATTTCATAATATGATACCTGTGTGTAGATATAATATGTATGCTAAAAAGTGGTAAGAACAGACTTTAAATATTGTTCTGCAACCTACTTGTAGTACTTAACAATTTAGCCTGGCCATTTCGCTATGCCAGTTAACACAGATTTATTTCATTTTTATGTCTGCATGATACTTTGCCTGAAGTGCTATGATTTATTCACTAATCCTCTCCTTTAGATACTTTGATTCTTTCCTACTTGTACTGTTATAAACAAGACTAGAATGAACATCTGTGGAGTTAAATCTCTAGTCACATCTTAATTTATTTCCTTAGGCAAAAAACCCTAGAAGTAAAATTGCTGCATATTTGGGTATCCACATTTTTAAGGTTTTTTAAAAAAAATTGTGACATGTTCTTGTGAAGGACACCTCACCCTCCCACCAGCCTGGGTGGGAACACCTATTTCCTATCGTCCTCATCAGCTCAGAAACTTAGCGTCCTTTTCCTCTTTTAGGGGAATTGCCAGGACTGAAGAGGGAAGAGATGTTTAATATAAGCCCCACATAGCACAGATGAGAAAGTCGGAGCCCAGGGAAGGAAATGCCTTTGCCAAGGGCACCAGTATGACCCAGTTCAGAATAACCTAGCTGCCAGGTCTCTGGACTTCCACACCAGGGCTCTTTTTCCCGACCTTTCATTCAGGCATTTATTCAAGAAGTATTTATTCAACCCTTGCACCTGCCAGGTAGTGTGCTGGTCACTGGGCAGACTCCACTGAGCACAGTGCAGGCCTGGCCCTCAAGCTGCACACAGGAGGACCCAGAAGGGCAATCCTCGTGCAGGCTTCTCTGGGAGCGCCAAAGGGCAGCACCTGAGCCAGCTGTGGGCACTTAGGAAGGTTTTCTTGAAGAGCTGGTATTTGAGGCTATTTTGAAGCGTGGTCAGAAGCTGACCAAGTGGACAGGGAGGAAAAGCATGCTGGGCCCAGAGAATGACATAGAAAAGGCCTTAACACAAGAGAACTTCATTATATAGATCTAGCATGGGGGTGGGGCGGGGCGGGGTGAGGGCTGACAAGGCCGGCAGAGGCCTGAGACCCAAAACTCATGCTGACCTCCTGAGAAATTCTTGTCGTAAAGACTTCACGGAGCCGTAAAGGCTGTGAAGGGCATGGTCAGAGGTGCGTTTGAGAAGCTCCCTCAGGCCGTGGAGTGGAAGGTCCAGAGGCTGAGAGCCGGGCAGGAGGCATGCAGTGATTTGCGGGCACAGAGAAGCCCGCCCCAATTTCTCACAGGCCTCGATGTCAGCAATTGTTTGAAGAACTAAAGCCTTTTCAAAGAATGATGTGAAAATGGTACCTTTGCTCTCTTCCCACATGGAGGTTGAATTCTCAAATGTATAATCCCCAAACCACCTGCCTTTGGCTCAGGGCTGGAGCTGTAGACCTGTATCCTGGGTGAGGAAATACTTCAAACCAGCCTTGTCCCCTAAATTACCCCCAGCTCCTCATCTTGGGGATGGCCTCTGGAGGGCGCTGCTAGGACTGTCCCATCTGGAGACTCCAGTCCTTGAGAGGCGATGGGGAGGTTGCCTTCCATTCCCCTCCCCCCATCTCCATACCTTCCTCTAACATCCTAACCCTTAGAGTGGAGTCCAACTGCCTGCGGGGTAACGGGCCCTCACTGCTGCCACTTGCAAAATTCTTTCTTAATGCTGTTGAGGAAACAATTCAGTTGGAATTACCGCCAGATTTCCTGTGTGTATGTGGCTGGAGAGGAGGCTCTGGAAGCTGAGGATGGGGCAGGGGCAACGACTCCTCAGGCACCAAATGCACCCAAAGGCCTTGTTTTCTCTCTAAATTTTTTAAAGTTAAGTTTGAGTAAAATTAAACTATCACAGGTAAGATTAAAGCTCCCTTTAGATTAGGTTATTGCACCATCCCCAATTCTAGGTCTCTTCCTCCACCTCTTAAACATAAACACTATTGTCATTTTTGTGTTTGTCCTTCAAATCTTTTATGCTACATTCATTAGTATATATGGGTCTATGGGAAATATTCACCTTCCTTTATTTTTCCATAAATGATACCACTATACATATCATTCCACAGGTGCTTCTATGGCTTGCAGATCTATCATGTGCAACTTAAGAGTTAACCATCTCACTTTTTAAATTATTACATAGTATTCTCTAGTTGAGCTATACCTCCATTATTTGAGCATTCCTCTATTGATGGAAGCTGACATTTTCTCGCTTCCTTACAATTCAAAACAAGACAGCAAGTGCCATCTTTGTACACACATACGTGTTCTCCAAGGCAAAGATTGAGAAATGGGTCATGGGCTTTGTGCATTAAAAATTTTTAATAGATAGATATTGCCAAACTGTCCTAACTTTGTAAAATTCTCATAGGTAAAGAGTTTTACTGATTTGTAAAACTTACATATTCTGGATAAACACTAATCTGTCAGCTGTTATGCCTATTGCTAATGTTTTTTTCCAGTCTGTTGTTTTTCATTTGTTTTTTATAGGGTCTTAATTTTGAGATTGTCAAATTTATCCATCTTTTCTCTGTGGATTTTCCTTTTCAGACTTAAGAGGATCTTCTCTTTTTCACAATCATAAACATTTTCTCCTATATATTCCTCTAATACCTTAATATTTTGACTTTTCCCATTTATATCATAAGCCATCTGGAATTTTTGTGTGTGAATAGTGTAAGGCAGGCAAGCTATTTTCATTTATTTCCAAATGGGTAACAGTTCTCCCAATGGCTTTAATTGAATAATCTGTTGTTTCTCCACTGAATGAAGATACTTTTATCACTTGCCATAAATGTGTGTTTATTTCTCGATTATTCTATTGTACTGATCTAGTAGTCTATTCATCAGTTCCTCTGTCATTACCTCATTGTTGCAATTACCATAACTTTCTAATGTGTTTTGATTGCTGGTAAGATAAATTCTTCTTCATTCTTCTTTTTCAAAAGAATCTTCAACATTCTAACATATTTACCCTTTCTTATGAATATTTGAATGTCTCATTCCATGAGAAATCCCACTGATATTTTTATTGACACTGTATTCAATTTATACATAAATTTGAAGACAACTGTCATTTTTATGATATTGTCTTCCTATCCATGTACATTTATTCATTCAACATATATTCACTGAGCACCTATGTGCCATCACTATTCTAGAGACTGGGGATACAGCAATTAAATTACTTGCTATCATGGAGTTTACATTCTCGAATAATACACCATTTTATTCAACATGTAATTTTATTTAAGTCTATTTTTAAATTGTTTTACCTTCCTGTTAGGTTTGTTCCTAAGGACTTTCTTTTTGAAAAATGTATATACATTTGGGTATTAAGATTCTCCACAGAACTTGTAAATCTTGGAAGTATTTTCTTCCTCTTAAAAGCATTCAAGGTATTTTTAAACATTAAGAACTTTAATATGCTTCTTCTAGTCCTCTTTAGAAGGTAGATTCACAGATCTGAGAAGCACTGGACATTTTAAACCCACCATTCTAGAAAGACTGCACTATTTATTGAACAAGATAAAAATTTTTAGAGAGAGAATATTCAAGCTTATGTTATCAAATAATGGTTCCCAAATTTGTTTAGGGTAGGTAGTGTTGTAAATGTAAAGACAAATTAAATTATCTGATTATACAAATGTTTAATGGTTATTCAGTTAACCTCCTTTATACTTACAGTTATTGGTGGTGGTGGTGGCAGTGGGGTGGAGGGGGGCAGTTTCCATTTAAAAAGTTTTAAAAAACACTAAAAATGGCAATTGCCTCCCTTGACTCTGGCCCACTCCTCCCTTGGAGTGTATGCACATGAAAGGTTCACTCTGCTTTGCTAAAGAAACCACTAAAAATAAGCACTAAACTCAAAGTAAAAGAATTCAACAGTATCTTTACTAATCAGATTTGTTATAAGTTTCAAAAGGCTGATAAAGCCAGTGCCAGTCGGCATGTGAAAAAATAAGTGTATATTGGACCCACACCATAGGATAGCAATTTGGCAATGTCAGTCAAAATCCAAAATGTACATTTGCTCTGGCTCAGCAATTCTACTTCCAGGAAGGAATTTATCCTTCAGATGCATTCTTAGAAAAGGATAAAGATACCTACTACTGTAGGATATGAGTCTCCCACCATCTCACCACACCCTTATTGTTGTCCTGTACATATTCTTCAAACTCGGCAAGAGGGACACAAGCTAGGGAATAGGTCTTCATCCTCCTCCCAGGTCATGGCCAAGTGGAGTTTGTCCCAGGAAAGTACAGTTGGTTTAACACTTACAAATCAAGTAATAAAATTTGCCATAACTAAGAAAAATTGTACGATCTTTCCATTAGATGCAGAAAGATCATCTGACAAAACCCAACATCTATTACTGACAGTATATATTTAAAAAACAAAAAAGCCTCTCTTCAAACTAGGACTAGAAGAAAAGTTCCTCAAACATGATAAAGAGTATCTCCAAAAAAACGTATCACTCACATCACACTTAATTGTGAAAGACTGATTGCTTTCTCTGTAAGATCAGGAACAAAGCAAATTGTACACTCCTGTTATTTCTATTAGCATTGTCCTGCAGGTTCTATTCAGTGCAGTGAAGCAAGAAAAAAAAATAAAAGGCACCAAAACTTGAAAGAAGGAAGTTAAAATTGTCTCTGTTTTTATACAATATGATCAGATATGTAGAAAATTCTAAGGACTCTACAAAAAAGCTATGAGAACTAATAAATGAGTTTGGGAAGGTTGCAGTATACAAAGCCAAAATTCAAAAATCAGTTGTGTTTCCATATATTACCAACAAAGAATCCAAAACTGAAATTTAAAATAACAAGACCATTCATGATAGTATCAAAAATATCAAATAATTAGGCATTTATCTGACAAAAGATGTGCAAGATGTGTACTGAAAACTACAAAATGTTGCTGTGAGGAATTAAAGACCTAAATAAATAGACGGAGACCCTTTGTTCATAGGTCAGAGGACTCAACATTGTTCAAATGTCAGTTCTTCCCGAGTTGATCTATTTCTTGAGTTGTAAGGGTGTCTTTGCCTTAGTAGCTGGGAAGCCCTGCAAGGCAGTGGGTGGGTGCCACTGCGGACTGGGAGGGTTTCGGCACGAGGGAGGGGCACCATGTGCTACACTTTGGTGTCTCCTAACCTGGGCGGTGATGCTTCTTGGCTCTGCCAGGTGTTGCCAGCCATGTAAAGGACCACCTGGCCTGGGATCCAAGATGCCACTCCCACTGTTCTCATCTAAAGGCAGCCATCCTCACCTTGGCCCCTTGGCCCGTGGTGGGAGAATGCACGACAGTATATCGACCTGGTTGCTCCCGACATAGAACCCCAATGAGTCATGCTCCCGGTGGTCCCTGGGTCCTTTCTGCTCTGTCAGGCCACCTCCAGGCACAGAGCTGTGTGCAGAACTCTCCCACATGCACCCTGCTTTGAGGTTTCTGAGTACAGTCTCCCATCTGTTCTCTGTCTTTTTTGGAATCCTGCTGTTTCTAGTGTATTTGGTCCCCCTTCTTGCTTTCTAGTGGAACTATGTATGTGTTTGCTGATTTGGTTGGGTTTTTTTCCATCTATCATTTCTACGAATTTGGCACAGGGGGATCAAGACTGCAGCATGTGTTCACTCCGCCCCCTTGAAACTGGTGCCTCTCCCCTCGTGTTCCCCATCCCCTTGCTCACACCTCACTCCCTCCAGGACACTGTCCCAGATCGGATCACCTGGCCCTGTGACCACGGACTCAGGAACCTGCCAAACCTTCTTCTTTGGAAAAGAAACCAAGAGCTGCTTGATCTTGTTGGTGCTCCTTAGCTTTGCCCCCTCGGATGTAACTTCTGAGCTCTAAAGTCAAGTCCAAAGCCCAGCATAACCTGCCCGTCAAGGCGCCCTTTGCCCCAGGTAGAGCCCCACATGGGTTTTGTGAAAATAGACTTTATTATAATAAAATGTCTTCTTAAACAAATGCCCCCACCATTCCACACCGCTGGAGACCAAGGTGGGAGAGGGGGCTCAGTCAGACAATCTCCCGCCACAGCAAAGGGAACATGCAGAGACACTCACCCAGCCAGAGTGGGGAATGGGGTGGTTGAGGTAAGGGAGAAGAGCCCCCTTACCCCACTTGGAGCAGGGAATGTATGAAAATAGCTGCATAAATCTGTCCTTTCCCCCAGTCCTGGACTCCAAAAGGAGCCAGAGGAAAACAATGCAAAAGAGAAATTGAATCCAATGAGCAAAATAAGGCAAACCCAACTCCTGCTTTCTGCCTGCTGGCCCCTGCATCGTAGGGGGCGAGGACAGAGTGGCCAGGAGGCTGGCTGGCAGGGAGGGGTGGAGCACTATGGGGTGGGGTTAGGCCCACTTTGGCATGGCCTTTCTCCTTCCCGGGCCTGTGCAGTGGAAGCGAGACGGAGGAAGCATTGAGTATGTACATATATACACGGCTCGGCTGCTGGCCCTGGGGAGGCCAGGCTCGGTAGAATCCAGTGCAAACTTTCCTTCGGGGGAGGAAAGACATGATCAGAGGGAACAGGCCCCCTCCTCCTCCCAGGTCTCTGTCCTGAGACTGGGGAGGCCCAGAGGAGGGGCTCACAGAGCCTGCCGGGAGAGGAGGCATCGGTGGGCAGACTAGCATCCGAGGGTTCTGGGCCCAGTCCTGCTCTGTGGCGGAGGCGCTCAGCAACCTTGGACGTGTCACCTCCTCACTCTGGGTCCCAAGTAAGAGGAGGGCGACCATCCAGAGGATTCAGCCTCAGTGACTCATCTAGCTCTGCCCTTCACCAAGTCTCTGATTCCCATCCAAGTGCCAAGTGTCAACTCAGAAGAACGGGAGCCCAGGACCCTCCCCACCCAGGCACAACAGTGATCCGGGGGCCCCAGGGAGCCACTTCTGCCTGCAGGATGGGCCACAGCATCATTCCTTCTTTCCAGAGCCCAGTTTCCTGAGGAGCTGCTTCCCCTTGGAAAGGAGACCCCACACTTTCTTGCCTGTGCCCTGAGGCCCTCCCAGTTCCATCCTGGGGAAGCTGCCAGGGCCAGGGACACAGGGCCAGCCTTGGGGCACTGGGGGCCCTTGTGTTGAGCTGGCCCAGTCCTGGAATGTGAGATAAAAGGGGAAAAGTCAGCACCTGACTCCCTGCCCCAACCTGACTCCTTTACCAACTACAGCCCCAGGTGCCTGCAGCCGCCTCGTCCCAGAACCCAGAGCCCGCTCCACACAGAGCACAGAGAGGCAAATGGGTATGGTAAAGCCAAGGGAGCACTGCACGGGGAGTCCAAACGGACAGAAGCAGAGTCTCACTTCCGTTCTGCTCTGTTCACTTGGGACCTGGACAAGCCCCACCCTTCCCAGGTCTTTACAGGGTGCTGGACTGACAGAGCTCAAGAGTCCTTGGACCTGACCCTCAGGTTGCATGCCCCAGCGTCCCCACATCATCCCCTCCCAACAAAGGGAGAGCAAGGACCATGAGCTTAGAGGTAGCTGCCCCCTCCAGGGAGGTGGCTCCTGGACCACCTCAAAGCAAATGCCCGTCCAGCCAGCCCATGCAGTGCCCTGGGGCCTCCAGGGGGTAGCCAGCCCCTACCCTGTGGGGAGGAGACTGGGACTTCTCCCTGAATGGCCCCCGAGAGGCCAGAGGAGCCTCAGAGCCGGGCCATGCTCAGCCCCCAGACAGGCTCTGGAGGCTGCCCTGCCCTCCGTCAGCATGTCTCCCTTGCTAGATCTCCTTCTAGCTCCATTTGCAACAGTGAGCGCCTTCCTCTGCCCAGGTCACTCAGAGCATGCTGTTAGTGGCCTACAGACAGGGGCTGGATGAACAGGAAAGCCGCCAGGAACCACCCCCGCTGTATTCCCACACCCACCACAGCCTCCTGTGCCCAGCACAGCCCAGTACTTGTTCCCCACCCACTTCCTCAGACCCCCACTTGCTACCAGAGCCCAGTGGTCTCCTGGCCAGAGCTAGCCATGGAGCCCAGACCAGAGGCCAAGGAGCCTGGGGCACACCCGCACCCAAGCCCTGGAGAGGCAGCAAGGCCCTCGCACAAAGAGGTCTGTGAGCACCTGGAGCTCAGTGTCCACTGCCAACCAGCCGGGGCTGATGGCCGGCCAGAGCCCTTCCCGCTCCTTCCCAGGGCTCCTTCCACAGCATCACAGGAGGGAGGGGCTGTGGAGTGGGTCTCCAGCCCCAGAGATGAATGGTTTGCAGTTATCTATGGACTCCGACTGCCCATAAGACCCCCATTTTAAGCCCCCCAGCTGAAAAAATTGAGAGTGGGGAATAAAATCATGTATCTCATCCCCTAACAGGTCATGATGCAGAGGACAAGGACAAGGGTGGGAGACTATTATTACTGGTGGCATTACAGTGTCATCCTTCTGTCACTGATAATAACAATATTATAATACCACAGTCATACAGTATAATAATACACTGATGAATCCTAATATGGATGTCACATAATATTCTATAAGCCACACGTGCTGTAGAATAGGAAGAGTCAGCTAATATGGAACATCATATACTAAAGATGATTATCCCTATGACAGCTGGCACTGGCCAGAGTAAAGGTAAGGAGAGGGGATGATCCTATATCCAAATCTGGCTCACAACAATTACCTCCCTCCCCCATTCCCTGGAAGAAAATGGAAAAGCCAGGTCAGCTCCCGTATTCAAGACAAAGGAGTGCAGCCTGATTTTGGTGACGTGGGGAGTGGGGGTCACATGGACACAGGGGCCCAGTCTCCCACTTACATGTTGCTCTCTCTACATATATCTATCTCCATCTAGCACTGGACTCTTCTCCTCCTCATTCTCTGAAGAACAGGGAACAAAGACAGGAGTTGGGTTAGGGACAGACCCAAGCACTCTCCGCCCAGTCACCAGGTTGCCAGGTCACAGGGGTGGGTCCTGCTCTGCATAGCCTTGGCCTTGGGAGCCATGACAGATGGAGGCCCAGGGTTTTCTGGTTGGGTCCTGGCCTCCTCTTCCTGCCCTGTGAGGCTGGAGCTGAACTGTACTCCATCCACACCGAGAGGCAGGCTCTAAGAACCAAGGAAGCTGGGCCTTGCGGGCCACTGGCTTTAAGAGGCACCCAGGAGACAGGGAGATCCAGCAGGGCGGGAGGTTCCCTGAAACCAGGGCTATGACTGGCTAGAGGGGTGGGGGGCACAGGGGTTCTTTTCCATAGCTGCAGGCAGCTGGGTCAGGTGGGCTGGGGATCGGGGTCACAGCCATCACCCCTCTGCAGAGAGGGGCACATACTGGGAGGGAGCTGGCTGGGCTCCCTCCTCCCTCTGCCAGTGACTCCCTCTGCCAGTTGCTCTACCCTGGGCACAATGCTCCCCTGGATCATCACCTGACTGCATCCCCTCCCGTGACGTTGTCCCAGCCCCACAAGGTAGAGCCCCAGCCGCTGAGCTGGCAGCCCAGTTCCTCACTGACCTGACTCTCAGCCTGGGATGCTCCGGGCTCCCTGTCCGAGCCTCCTGCCACAGGCCCAGGTCCCTCCAGGAAGTTGGATGGAACCAGGCCCCTCTGCCCATTCAGCTCGCCCTGGAGAGGAGAAGCAGTGAGACTGAAGCCAGGAAGGAGGCCTCAGCCCCACCTGGACCCTGAAGCCCCCAGTGGAGTGGCATGGTGTCAGCACTGCTGCTGTGGCGGTGAGCTGGCCCAGCCCACCAGGCTTCCATCAGGGAGCCCCGCTCATCCCGGTCCCCGGCTCTGGGAGAGCCTTCTCTGAAAGGGCTGGCCAGCAGGATGTGGCACGCCCTGGTCCCCAGTGTCCTCACGTAGTAGAAACCATCGTCGTCCATGCCCCCAAACACCGTGATGACATCCCCTGCTCGGAAGGGCAGCTCTGCCTGTGAAGAGACCAAGAGGCAGATGTCAGGCCCAGGGAGGCCCAGCCACCACTCCCCTTGGCTGTGCTTCCGAGGGTCCTCACCTCCACGTCCGTGTTGGGTGAGCTCTCCCGGGGATTGTAGTCAAATGCAGCCACCATGGAGTGGGGAGCTTGCAGGCTGGCAGAGGAGACTGGCTGGGGGCTGCCTAAAGGACGATGGGGAGGAGATTCCGGACTCTCTCTAGACCCCCCGCCCTATAGTATCCTCGGCACTGGAGGCCTGCTGACCCCACTTGCCACCTCCCAACTAGTTGTAGCCCTTAGGGAGAAGCCAGACGGGCATCCCATCCCACCCCCATCCCCAGTCCCCCTACACAGGGACAGCTCCTTACCTGCACAGGGTGGGGCAGCACCTTCTGACTCTGCTGTGGAGAGAATGTGCATGTGAACCCTGCTCCCTACCTCCTTCCTCATCCCAGCCTCTGGTTGGTGCAGGGACACAAGCTGCTCAGCCTCACACAAGATGCGGGCAAAGGCCACGCAGAGAGCACATAAGCCCAGGCCTTTGTTTTTAGTAGTGAACTAAGGCCCAGAGAGGGTAAGTGACTTGCTCCAGGTTGCACAGAATTTATAGTCAGGTGCTTTTCAGAACAAAGATCCTGGAAAACCACTCTCCATGCCCATTCAAGGGCATGGATATGGGTGAAGGTTTGCCTTGATTCCCTTCACCTGCTCAGAACCCCACATGGGTCTCCCCAGAGCCAGGCATGCCACCCGCAACTCATCCTCATAGGCTCCTGGGGAAGAAGGGGTCTTACCCACCTTTCTTGGAGCGGCGGGGCTTAGGGGGAGGCCCAGGTGTGTGGGCTGTGGAGTACACAGAAGGAACATTCCCTGATACAGAAAGACAGGATGTAAGAGATAAACTGAGGCGGGAGACAGGTAGGATAGTAGGGATAGGGCAGGAGTCTACTAAGGCTACAGCAGAGTTCAAGTTTCTAAAGGGTGTTCCTCCTGCATCCCTGACCCCCCAGATTCAAATGCATGGTCCATCCCCCTGCAGCGGATCCCCTTTACATGTGGCGAGATTACTGCTGGGGCCACACTGGCCTTTGTCCCCACAAGGCCCCAGTGGTTCTGTGAGATTCTGCATTAAAAAGGTGCCCAGACATACAAATTGCCCAAGGGGCTTGAGTCGAAACTGGGGTGGTGGGAGATGGGCGAGGAACAGCAGCAGCAGGTCATACCTGAGCCCTCAACAAGAACATGTGGGGACAAATAACTCCTCTGGAGCAGCTGCTGTCTACCCGCTGGTCTGTCCACAGCCACCTCAGCCACCATGTTGCAGGGGATGTAGCCTGTCCGGCCCCCACCTTCACCCCGGTAGAATCCATCAGCATCCTTGTCCCCAAACACCTGGAGGCAAAGGCCAGTTGTCTCAGGAGGCCAGTTCAGCTGCTCCCCATGCCCTAGGTCCCAAGCCCCGCGCAGCAGACTTGGAACAGAAATACGGGGAAGGAGCCAAAAATAAGGGCCAGAGGCATGAGAGAAGATAGTCCTCTCTGTATCATCACCACCTGCTGACCGCACGCCCAGTCCCCTGGCCCACCCCAGCCAAGGTCTCCCTAGTCTCAGAGCAACAGCACAAAGCCTTTGATAAATACTTGCAGGCATAAAAAAAGTCTCCATGTTAGCAGCAGCAGTTATTACGTTGTGCTATGTGCACATGGTTTAGGCACTCTAAGTATACTGAATCATTTCGTCCTCAAACCCTGTGAGGCAGACACTAACATCCCCATTTCACCAGTGAGGAAGCCGAGGCCCAGAGGAGTTAATCGACTCAAGGTTACAAGGCTAGAAGTGGCGGTCAGAACATAACCCCACGTCATCTGGCTCTAGAAGCTGTGTTCTCAGCTGTGCAAGGCCACGATACCTCCAGTGCAGGAAAGGAGGGCGGAGGGAAGACCCAGACAGTAAATTGGTCACCTTGAGAATCTGGCCTTCCCGGAAGGGGAGCTCCTCTTCCCCAGCATCAGGGTTGGGTGACATTGACACAGGATCATAGTCAAACAGAGCCACAAAGATCCTGACAGGTAGGTCCTGGTAAACCAGAGCTGCTTCTGGGGGACTCCCGGGAGGAGCTGTGGAGAGGTCTGGGGAGAGAGCAGAGACAATAAGGTCTGCCCAAAGGGTCAGGAAAGCGCCCCCGCGGCATAGCCCAGCCCCCATTAGGTGCTCACCCAGCTCAGAGGCACCTGGCCTGGGGGCCTGGCCCCCTCTCCTCAGGGGGCCCCTCCGCCCAGAGCTGTCTGACCCTCTGGGCTCCCCAGTCTCTGTTGCCTGCAAAGAGAGGGCAACAGATGGCAGAAGTGACACACCATCCCTCTGGCGGGCACCTTGGCCAGGGCAGGACCCAGCACGTATTCCCCCAGCTCTGCCGGTCAGCATAAGCAGCACAGCAGAGCGGGGGCACATTTCTCTCCTGGAGCCTTGGTCCAGCCTCTCTGGAGACATCAGCCACCCCCATGGCCGGAGGAAGGGCAGTGGGATGGGCCCCAGCTCCAGCCACCCTTGTAGGTGAGTGTAGTAGAGGGGACTACAGGCAAATCTTAGCTGAGGAGTGGGAGAGAAGAGGGCCTCTTCTCAGCGTCAGGGCTGTATGACGCCGGCCATCACAGTCAGTGTCCTGAAGATGTAACTAGCTAAGCAGAGAAGGCCACCCTGCCCCAAGGCGGTGGGCTGGCTGGCAGCAATTGGCGACTAGTGATAACAGAATACTGTGCATCCCAGTTTCAATCGGCAGAAGCAGCAAAGCAGTGGAATGTGGGTGGGAGGAGGTAAGTGGGGGAGCCAGGAGGCCCAGCCCCACCTCTGCTGATGGAGGCGGCAGCGTGGAATGGGAGTGGCTGGTGGGCAGCAAGCAGGGCCACCAGGCGGCAGCAGGCAGAGGGCTGCCCAGTGTGGGGAATGGGCACGGACCCGGGAGGCTGGCTCCTTGGCTCTGCCAGTCGCACTGCGGCCTCTCCACTCCGGCTCCCCTTTCTCCCAGGCCAGGAGGTGTGAGTGGGGAGTGGAGCCTGAACTGGCCTTCAGAGGTCCCCGGGGCCTTCCTACGGGTGCTGTGCCCCAGGCCTCCCCGTCTCCGGAGTAACTGGAGCCGCTGATGCTGATGCCCCCGCCGCCCGCCTCCAGCTCATCCTCAGAATCATATTCGATGCTGCTTTCCAAGCACTTGGGGGAGAGGCAGCTGGCCAGGCCAGATTCCGGGACACGGCCACGGGGGCACCTCCGGGAAGGGGCCGGCCGTCCTCTCCCCCCAGCCTCTGGCCCACCCCTGGTCCCCTCGCCCACAGCGGGCCCGCCCCTCTCCCGTGCAGGGCCTGGTCGTCCAGAGGCCTGGAGCCCATTGCTGAGAAGCCGGCTGCAGTGTTCCCGGGGATCTGGGGACCGCCTGCGGTTTGGAGGCTTCTCAGGGGACACACTTCCTCTCCTCCGGCTGCTGCCACCAACTAGTCCAGGCGTATCTTCCAGACGGTCCCCGGCCCTGCAGGGCTCGGGAGACAAGGGAGGTGGGCCAGGTCCTCGAGGCCACCTGCTGTTGCAGCCCAGCCCTAGCAATGCAGGCTCAGGCAGGCCGGGGTCTCGGGAAGGACAGCCTGCTCCTGGCTGCTCCTCGCCCTCCTCCTCCTCCTCCTGCTTGTCCTCCTCCTCCTCTTCCTCCTTGTCCTCCTCCTCCTCCTCCTCAGGAATGCTAAAGAGCTTCTTGCTGCAGAACTGCTGGAGGGGCAGCTCCAGAATCTGCTCCAAGACCTCCTCGTCGCTGTCAGTCTCACAGAAGGGGTCGGGCTGGGGCTGGGGGGCGGGGGAGGAAGGCAGCAGGGAAGAGAGGTCCACGGGAAATGGAGGGGGCTGTGACCTCTGCCCTCAAGTGAGAACAGGGGCTGCAGGCAACCCCGTGCCCCCCCGCAGCTTCCTCCAAGAGGAAGGACCAGAGAGAGGGGCTGGCCCCAAGTCACACAGCATGTCCAGGGCACAGGCAGAGGAAGAATTAGGGAACACACCCAAGGAACAGGCTGCATGGGTGCTGGGGCCCCCGAGGGCCAGAAGCATAAAGGAGCAGGCTGGGCCTGGAACAGCAGAGAGGCTCCCCAACCCGTCCCCAGAAGCTCCCAACCCCAGGGTCTCGGGTGGCTGGGGTGCCGCATCTGGAGGGCTGAAGCAGGAGAAGGTGCAGAAGAGGGCTCACCCTCCCCTTCCCGGGAGGGCCATCCTGAGCCACGTCCTATCTGCCCCTCGGGACAGGACCCAGGCCACAGCCCTAGAACGCTGCTGGCACTCCGCAGTGGGTGGAGTAGCTGCCGACACAGGAGGCAGAGGCCCCTGGAACCCAAGAGCTAGGGCCCGCCAGCCCCTCCTTACCCCATTACCTTGGCCCCATTCTCCCTGATGCTGTTGCCAACAACCTGCTTCTGGAAAGAGCAAGTCCTGGAAGCCAGCTCCTCCTCCTCCTCCTCCTCCTCCTCCTGGATGTCTGACAGATCTGAGTTGCGGCCGTGGTCCACAAGGGAGTTCACCAGACGGACCCCAAGCTCTGCTGCATCCTCCCTCTGTAAGACATGAGCCAGAGAAGGAAGGGCAGTGAGGAGGAAGGGGGCTCTGCAGGGTCAGCCCCAGCCAGAATGAAATGGCTCCCTTGGCAGAGGGACAGAGGGTCATTCCCCAAATGGGGGGTATGCACAATGGTGGGGGTAAGGATGATAGCCAAAGGAAAGAAATCTGGGAAGGTAGAGCGACAAAGAAACAGACACGTGGCATAGACCAGAGCCAGACCAGACTGGAAAAAGAGCAGAGGGCAACCACGTTCTGGCTGGTAGAATACAGGGAGGCAGGCCCCAGTCCCTTGAGGGGGCCCAGTGTGTCCCCGACCCCATACCTCAGCCCTGGGCCTCAGCCCAGTTCCCGGGTCGCCTCTGTGGCAGGCCTCAGCACAGGGTACCCTCTGGGCCAGTGCTCCCTGGGCCCCCCTGGCCTCCTGCTTGGCCAAGGGGGAAGGTGCAGGGCCAGCTCTCTCACCCGCAGCTGGCTCACTGGCTCTGTCCTCTGAGGCACCCGGCACAGGTTCCCCAGCCTCCTCCTGAAATGACAGATGCTGAGGAAGGGCCCAGCCCCACCCCCAGCCTCCACCTGCTCCCCCTCTTCCCAGCAGGGTACCTGGGAGCAAGGTGCTGGGGGCTCCACTTGGGGTCCTTTTGGTGTCTCTCTGGGAGGGCTTGCTGGGAGGCCCCCAGGGGGCTCCTGAGTTCTGTGGGGGTCAGGGCACTGGAGGGGAGAGCTGGGGTCTCCAGGTCCTGGGGCGGCTGGAGCAAGGGGTGTTCTGGCCTCCAAGCCTGGTCGTGGTGAGGGGCAGGAGACTTTGGCTTGCAGGTAGGCCGCAGCCAGGGCTGGGGCAACAGGAGCCGGAAAGGAGTCAGCGGACTCGCCATGGGGCGACATGGTGCGCACAGCCACCTCACTGCACACCTGTAGCAGCTGCAGCTGGGACAACTCCACGAGCACACTGCCCGCTGTGGGCGAGGCCACCTCCATGATCTGCAGGACGAGCAAGCACAGGATGGGAAAGGGAGGCTGCAACGGCCCAGTGTGAGGGCACAAGGACACCAATGGTGGCTAGCCCTACGCCAGACACTCTGCCGAGCCCTGGCACGCTGTTTCTCATTCAATCCTCCCAGCCACATGGCATCAGTGGTGGGATGGTTTCCGGACCCCAGGCATCTGCTACCAAAGACCATGCTCTCTACCGATCTGCTACCCAGTGCCCAGGTGACATGGGCCTGGCATCTCTGGGTCAGGCTGGGAAGACTAGGCCTCTGAGCATGGCAAGGAGAGACCACATCCTGCTTCCAGGGTACAAGTGGGTAGAGTCCCCAGGCCATACCTTCTGCCCATCAGCATAGATGGCATAGCCTGTGACCCGAACACCATTGGAGGTACCAGCAGCATCAATCGTTACTGGGAGCCAGCTAATGATCAAGATTCCAGGGGAGGGCCCCGGCTCAACCTGCACATCCAGGGGGGCATCAGGTGGGCCTGGGGAAGAGTGGCACACGACTCAGTAACACAGGACACTCGCTGTGCCTCCAGAGATACCAGCTCAGTTTGCCATTTCCCTGAAAGCACAAATAGCACCAGCCTCCCTTCCCGCCATCACCCGTGGCCTGGCCTCCTGGTGTTACAATCAGCGTGCAAGCCTGCGTACCTGCTGGGAGTGTGGTGAACTGCAAGGTGGCAGCCCGCTGGTCCAGCCTCTCCCAGCCTGGTTCCCAGGACCCTCGAGATGGGAGTTGAGCCTCCACTCGAGCCTGATAGAGTGTACCAGGCCGCAAGTGGCAGAAGGTGGCCCAGTAGGTGCTGGGGCGGGCAGGGGGGCACTCTTCCCCATTGAGGTAGATGGCATGGGCCAAGTTGCTATTGCCAGGCACCCAAGTGACCTCTGCAGATGTGGCTGTCAGTCGATGGACCCGTAGCTGGCTAGGTGCTACCTCGACCCGGGTACCCACCACCAAACAACAGCGCAGAGGGTCAGAGCTGCCCTGGCTGGTCAGGGCCTGTACAGAGACATGGAGGGGTCCGACCCGCAGGTCCAGGTTTTCAAGCACAGTCTTGGGAGGGGCCCCAGGCCCCAGGGTCTGACGCAGCTCCCCATTCACACAGACGTGGTAGCCACAGAGCTCCACTTGCTCAGGAGGTGGCTCCCAAGCCAGCACCACACTGTGGGCCAGCTGCTTGAGGAGCACCAGACAGCGAGGGTAAGGCACAGCAGGGGGCCCGCCCAGGCCCTCGGGTGGGGGGCTCAGACTGAGCTCGTCCCCTGCAGCCTCGTCCTCCGGTCTGGGCTGGCTGCGTCCCCCGCTGCTCTGGCCCCCACTACTGCTGTCAATCCCCCCTCCACTCAGGAAACTGAGTTCAGGCCCTGAGCTACAGGACAGATCGGCCAGCTCCGAAGGGAGGGTGGTGAGGAGGTCGTCGTCGGACACGCGCTCTACAAAGTTGGAAGGGACCAGGCCCCTCCGGCCATCCATGAGCTCCCCTGGCAGAGGAAGGGCAGGGAAGGGGAAGACAGAGGAGAGGCAGAGAAAAACCAGTCCAGTAAATGCATCTTAGCAATGGTTAGTGGGTGATCTTAGACATTTGAATCTAATCAACATTACCTGTCAGGGCTTAAAAGACAAAAGCAGTCAAGATCTGGATTAGGGAGTGACTGTTAATTTTCATAGGTGTGACAACAGCATGTGGTGACACAGGACAGTGCTTCTTAAATTTCAACATGCATATGAATCGGATGGAGATTTGTTAAAATGTGGATTCTAATTCAGTTAGGTCTGGGTGGGTCAGTCCCTGCTGTGAGCCTGCGCTTCTAACAAGCTCCCAGCGGACGCTGCTGCCGCCAGGGTACAGGAGAGTGTCCATGTTCTGAGATGTGTGCGGGTGTCTGTCTAGGGAAAATGGCATGATGTTTACAACTTGCTTTTACATCATTTTAACCTACATATGGATAAAGTAAATATGGCAAAATGTTAACAATTGTTGAATCTAGGTGGTGAGTATATAGTGTTCATTGTTTTCTTCTTTCATTTTCCTGTATGTTTGGAAACTTTCATATTAGGTCTGAAGAGTGGGGGTAGGGGTGCCTCTCAACTTCCTTTTGTGGAAAACAGGAACCCCCAAAAGGATAGGAAAGCCTCACCTGGTCAGTGTAAGGGAAGGAATCTTCAGAGATGAAAGGCCTAAGTGCCAGGGTAAAAAGTCCCCTGTGGGTTCCAGAAGGGATCAGGACCCACAGCAGGCCTGGGTCTAGGAGCACGACCGGCAGTCAGTCCTGGCAGTGACCAGAGCTAAGTTCTGTTGTGTTGTGCCAGTTCCCCTAAGCACTTGACAGCAGAGTACACCATCAAACATTTGCTTTATTGGTTTGAGGGACGTCTGCTCATGCTAGGAGGGAAAGAAAGGCTGGAAGACTTGCAGAAGGAACAATAGGAACTTTCAGTGAAGTAGACAACATAAGCACTGTAGCGAGTTGAATGACGGCCTCCCCAAAATATGTTCACATCCTAATCCTGGATCCTATGAATGTGACCTTTTTGGAACAAGTCTCTTTGCAGATGTAATTAAGTTAAGGAGCTTAAGATGAGATCATCCTACATCATCTGGGTGGGTCCTAAATCCAATGACAAGTGTCCTTATAAGAGACGCACAAGGGAAGACACTGAGGAGGCAGCATGACCACAGAGGCGGACACTGTGGGGATGTGGCCACAAGCCCAGTGCAGCTGGAACCACCAGGTGCTGGTAGGGCCACGGAACAGGAGCTCCCCTAGAGCCTCCAGAGGAACTGCGGCCCTACCAACACCTTGATTTCAGACTTCTGGCCTCCAGAGATGTGAGACAATACATTTCTGTTGTAAGCCATCCAGTCGGTGGTAGTTTGTTACAGCAGCCTTAGGAAATACACACAGGCACTAACAGTAAGGAGTGTGGTGCTAAAGGTAGCAGCCTTCATGTTAAGCAGATGCACAGCCCTGAAGGCAGGCACTGCGGCCTGGACTGGAGTCAGGCATATGCTCCTGAAGCTTGTGACACCAAGAGCAGGCCAGGCAGACCAGACACAGATGAAGTAGTCACCTAATTAAAGCTGTCTAAATCCCTTTAAATCTATCCTAGATTATGTTGTCTAAATTCTAGCATTTGTGGTTAATATTTATGTTTTTTCCACCCCCTTCACCCCAAAAATGTTGGCTTTTTGTTGTTTTGTTTTCATTTAAAAGGCTGTTTTTCTGGGAGCTAGTTAATCCTGTTCTCCATTATACATCCCCATAGGGAGCTTAGCTGTTCACCATCATTCCCAGCAAATAACAGGCCCAGGGAAGAGATGATGAGCAGGCTCTGAAGGCTTGGCTGTACACTCCCAAAGCTCTGGGTGTTTCAGACTCAGATCTGAACCCCTAAATCCTCACCCTGCCCTGTCCACACTTTACCCAGTCTCCACACAGTGTCATCCTCCCCGTGCTGAAGGATGCAGGCTGGCACCTGGCCAGGGCCACCCTAGGGAATCTCCCAAAGCCATTTCTTCTGTAGCCCCACTGCCCAGTCTCAATGATGGGGCATCTGGCTCAGCTGCCATCTCCCCACAGGCACTGGAGAACTGCCCTGATGGCCCTCCTCTGCCTGGGCCCGGACACCTGCTAACTACTTGCTAACACCCTCTCCTGGGCTCTAGACCCTGATTGCTCCTCCCCACCCCCAACTGGAATCCAGCACCAGATCCATGCTACCTGCCTGACCTCAATGTCACTAGTATTGAACACTGCCATGCCCTGTCTGCCAGCACGAAAGTGAATTCTGCCAAAATTTCCTGTGATGCTACCTATCAACTGGACCAGTAGGCCCTGTCCTGCCCTGCTTGGGGCAGACCCACTGCCAGACCAACTGCCCCCTTTTCCAGATCCCTTCCTTTCTTTTTCCCCACAGGCTGCCAGATCCCTGCAGGACTTTCCACAAAGTCTGAAAAGTCATGGTGGGGAGATGGAATGGGTGGGTGGGGGTCTTCGGGAAGGGGAGCTTAAAAGCAAGGGAATGACAATGATCCCACTACCTTCCTACCTTCAAAAAAGCCATCCTCGTCCATGTTGCCATAAATGTAGATGTACTCGCCAGCAGTAAGTGGAAGCTCTGCCTCCGGGTTCTCATTGGGGCCCTCGAAGGGGTTGTAGCTATTGGGGGAGGCGCAGAGGAGGTCAGCGACCTATATCCTGCCTCCGTGTCCCCTCTCCACTACCCACCTACACCAGACCTTTATGGAGACTTGGTGGTCCACCTTTATTGTAGCCAAGTAGAGTGCTCACTGCACCCACCTGGGCCCAACTAGGTTAAAAGGACATGTAAATCCCTCTCCCACCCCCACCACCTCCACAGGCCCCTCTCTTCACCAGGCCCCGTCCTCCCATACACCCCAATTACTGGGGGGCATGGGGAGCAGGGATGAAGGGCCCACCTGTAGCGTGCTAGGAAGACCTGGATCCTGGCCTCTCCCCGGCTGCCCTCCTGCACTGCTGGGAGCAGGGAGACATTGTCTGCCTCCAGCTCCTCCACCTCACTGGCTGTGTCCACCTGGGGGGAAACAGAAAGGGCCAGCCCACGGCAAGGCTGGCAGCAATGAGCCCCAGTGTTTCTAAATCAGCACCCGAGCTAGCAGGTCCTGGCAGAGCCCAGCTCCTCTGGGTAGGGGGAGTGCAGAGAACCTGGATCCCTCCCCAGTCCTGGCCTCTGCTGCACCAGCCCGGTAAATAGGACCACTATCCCGAATGGAAAGGGAGCCAGCGGCACTGGTGGGGGATGGGTGTCCAATGGAAGTTTGCCTCCTTAAGGTAAAAAGGCAGCAAACACTCTGCTGTAAAGAGCTGGAGACAAGGAGGCAGAAGGGGCTGAGAAGTCGCAGGAGGGCACTGAGCAGGCAGTCCACTGCGGCATCCAAAGCCAGGACCACCGTTCTATCCCACAAGGGGGCAGTAGAGGCCTGGGCCTGGGGTCCACCCCTTCCCGTAGCCCTGACCTGCCCCCTCCGCTTTCTGGCCTTAGGGAGGTAGAGCGGGCAGTGAGGCGATCAGAAGAGTCGAGTGATGCCCAAGAACCTGGTAATAAAAACGGCTGCCATATTCAGCTACTGCGTGCCCTGGGCTGAAGGAGGCACTCTCCTTGTTTTCTCATGTATTCCTCTCAACCTTACAAGGCAGGTTTTATTAGCATCGAAATCCAGATGAGGAAACCGAAGCCCAGAAAGGGTCAGTGGTTGCCCAATCAAAGCTGGGGTTTAAATCCCAGAACCTGTGTTCTTTCTCACACAACCACCTGCCTCCTGCTACAGACACTACGGAATAGTCTCATTATGGGGATGTGGCGCCAACATGTCTCCCTCCGCTAGCTCAGGACTCAAGGGCCTCTCTGAGCCCCAGAGGGGCGGGGCTGGCTGACCCCAAAGCAGGACCTCCAGGCAGGCACTGGAGAGCAGAACAGGCTACACCTGAGCTCGCTGTCCACAAAGAAGGATCCACAGGCCCTTCTCTCCTGGGGTCTGGCCCCACCTCCCAACTTGGGACCCCACCTGAGCCAGAGGCCACCCAACAACCAGGAACCCAGAAGAGGTCAGGGCCACCACCCCTCCCCCTTCCTGAAGGCAGAGCCAGACCCAGGCCCTTCCCCAGCACTGACCTCAGGTGTAGGACATGACTTGGGGCTGTTGTGGATGGACTCGGAGCGAGAGGAGTTAGAGAGAGACTCTGCCTTCTTGGTGGTCCTTCGGGGGACCCCAGCAAGGGTGGGAGGGGCAGGCTCAGAAGACTTTGGGGTGCAGCGTCCTGGGGAGCCCGGCAGGAGGTCAAGGTCTAAAGAGAAGATGGTATATGTGGAGCCCCTTGGATATGGGATTCAGGCCCTCCATAACCAGGTTTCCATATAAGAAGGGAAATATTTGGGGGAAACTTACTAAGTGAAGGTGGAGGTGATTTAATATAGTATTTCACATGATCCTCAGAGCAGCTGGGTGAGATCCACTAAATTATTCCTGTCTTACAGCTTAGAAGACCACAGCCCACAGAGGTTTAGCAGCATGCTCAAAGTCACATGGACTATTAGGGGAGTGGGGCTGGGACCCCCAGACCTGACCGGCACCCACTGTGACTCTACGCATGCTCCCTGCCTGCTCCTGATGCCTAGTGCTCAACTCCCAGCTGTGGTCACAGAGGTCTTGTCAGAAGGAGAGGAGCAGCGGCCTCAGATGCCTGGCCAAACACTGGGATAGCAACACCTGTGGGCTCATTTTTTTTCCAACCAGAGCCTGCTTCTAACCAAGCCTGGCTCTAATTTGCTGTGACTTTGGGTGGGTAGCTAGCCTTCTGTGACCCTAAACTCTGCCTATACAAAAGCCCTAGGCCTGGGGATTCCAGACTAAAGCCACTGGGGTCCACCTTACCTTTGGGGCTGGGCCCCCTGCAAGGCTGGGGGGCAGAGCAGCAGCAGGGGGGTGGTGGATGGTCCCCAAGGGTACTGTAGCCCAGGGCAGAGGTGAGCAGATCCAAGGGGCCAGGGTGCAGGCGGAAGGCCTGGAGCTCCTGTGCCAGGAGGCTGAAGCGCTCTGTTTGGCTGCGGCACTGCTCCTCAAGCTCTCGAACGCGGGCCTGGGCCAAGACTTATCATGAGCCACCAGGCCCAGCACAGCTGCCTGGTTCCAGCCTGTGCCACCTCCACATGGCCACACATCAGGATTTAGATTATATCTCCCCAGCTCCTAGGCCTGGGCACCAACCCTTGGCCTGGCAGCCCCACTGCCCTTAATGGTGTCTGAGCTGGGAGTGGAGACCTGGAGCTGCTGGGCCTTCGTTCCCAAGTTTCCCCAGAGGAAGGCTGGGCCTGCCTCACATCCTCACAGCCCAGGCAGCGGCACTGCCTGCTTCCATCTGCTCTCCAGGCCAAAGGGATGGCTCCCACTCCCATCGCTACCATAGAACCTCAGGAGCTTTCTCAGCTCAGCTCTTGTCACCCTCCCACAGTCAGTGACCCAGATCCCTGCCCTCGGAGAGATCCAAATGGGACTGAGGCATCTTTGTGACAGAAATGAGCCAATTCTCAAGAATTTTTTTCAGGAATCAGGAGACTTCCAATATTAGGGGCTCTTCTGTGGCCAATATCAGCAGAGTTATGGGTTATACTGGTGATGAACTTCCTCATGGTCTGAGTTTTAGAGGAGGGAGGGCCCTGTGTCTGCCACGCACACTGGCAGGTCCGGGCAGAGGAGATGGCCCACATGTCCCATGGGAACCCCAGCCCATCTACAGATGTCCAGGTCTCCTGCCAGTCACATCCCTCTGCTGGACGTGACAGTTGGGACCACTTGGACCTGAGGGAGGAGATGCAGCTCAGCCCGCCTGGAGAGGCATGAGGGAGGGGATAGCCCAGGGAGGTGGGGGGCAGGAGGCTGTACCTGCATGGAATCCAGGGTAGACTGTGGCAGGGAAGGAAAACACAGAGGAGAGGTTAGAGCCTTGGCCCTGTGGGTCACCACCCAGAGAGGGCAGGAAGGAGAGAGGGGCCCAAGTGGACACCATGCAGTCAGCTCCCCGGACTGACCGAGCAGTTCCTCAACAGAAGGATATTTCAGGCTGGAGGAGCCTTTGGGGTGGGTGACAAGGGGAGACTGCTGCCCCCAGACCCAGGAGCCCCAGCCCAGCAGTGTTGGAGGGTTCCTTAGGCCCTGGGGCATGGCAGGACCCTTCCTGTAACCCCGCACTCCCTCCACGGATGGGCCAGTCCAGCTCTCTCTGGACTTCCCCTGCCTTCCCCAGGCTGGGTGGCCACCTGCAGGGACCCTACCTCCAGCAGCTGCACGGCCCCTTCATGCTCCCTCCTGGCTTCCGCCTGGGCCTACAGGTGGGAGGAGGCAAAATGCTGGAGCAGGGTGGGACAAGGGGAGGTGGGAGGAAGACAGGGAGGGGAGGAGGAAGAGGAAGGGGAAGAGGGGCTGGGAAGGGGAAGCTGAGAGTCCCTTCCTCCCGAACCCCCGCCGCTGAACCCCAAGGTGATGGGGTCAGGCAGAAGCAGGCCTGGTACCGTGCCTCCCGCCGGGACACCCACCCTCGCGGTTCCCTCCCAGCCTCTTCAGCCTGCTCTCTGACTTCTACCACTTTTGAATGTTAGGGGTTGCAGGGCGCCCACCCCAGGTCCTCTTTATACGCTTCGCTCTCTCCCAAGGGGGGGGGGGTCCTACCGAGTCACATGACTAGACACGGTGCCGGGTTCCACAACTATCTCCAAGGCCAACTTCCCAACTTCCCTGTGACTCCAGACTCACTATCCAACCGCCTCCGGGCTTCTCCGCTTGAATGTTTCACACACAACCCAAACTTGGCCAGAAGAGAACTCAGAACTCCGACTTCCCTGCCTCTCAAATTGTGGCCCCTTCACCCCTCATCTGTTGGGGATTAAAAAGCCCCACCTTCATCAAAGTTTACACAGCAAATGAGTGAAAGAGTGGGAATTCAGCTGGATTCCCACGGAGTCTTGTTGATTCTATTTCCAAAATGTGTTTCAAATCCGTCCACTTGATTCGACCTGATTTGCTGGCACCCTAGTCCAGGAGGCCATTGTCTCCCACCTGGACCCCTGCAGCACCCTCTCTACTGATGGCGCTGATTCCATGCCCACTCCCCCATCCATCCTCCACAGGACTGCCAGGGCGAGCATCTGAAATGGTGATCATATCATGCTACTCCCCGGCTTGGACCTTCAACAGCTTCTCACCACTCAGCAAAATGTCCAAATGCTTCCCACAGCCCTGAGGCCCTGCTCCATCTGGGTCTTGCCTGCTCCTGCTGTTCTGCCCATCCTGCTGTATTCCAGCCACACTGCTCTGAACCCCCAAGCTCTGTCCTGCCACAGGGCATTTGCACTTCTATTCCCCTGGAGTGCTCTTCAGCTGGTTCCTTCTCACCCTTGAGATATTAGAGGCCTTCCCTGCCAGTCTCTCAAAGTGGCCCTTCAACCCATCCCAGTCACTCTCTGTCACATCACCCCGTTCACCTCCCCCACTGCACCTGTCAGTGACTGGGACCATCTCACTCGTGGAGCTGATTATTTGCTGACTGGTCATGGACTTGGGTTTTGCCCTCCACTATCCCCTAGTGCCTGGCAGCACCTGGCAAGCAGTGGTACTCAGTAAATGCTCGCTGAATGCTCCTTGCCCAGACTAGGGTGTCAGCAATGCAAGCAGAGACAAGTGGATGGATTTGAAATATATTTTGGAGATAGAATCCACAACACTCCACACGATTCCAGCTGAGTTTCCTCTCTTTCACACATTTGCTGTTGGAGGAGCTGGGGTCCAACAGCCCACTACCCTTCCTTTGCCCCTGGAAACCCTGCCCCACCTGCTGCAGCCTCTGGACTTCCTCCTGCTTCTCCTGCAGGCTCAGCCGAGCCTGCTCATGCTCCACCTCCAGCTGCTGCCGCCGCTGGGCCACCTCCCGCATGTGCTGGAACACAGAGCCTGGGTCACCGCCAGAGCCCCACCCCACCACTTCTGTAGAAGACCTAAGATGAGGGAGCCTCAGACACCATGTGTTCCAGACACCCTCTGTTGAAAAGGAAATGAGGCTAGAGAAGGGAAGGGGCCACTGGCACCAGGACTAGCCTCGGATGCCAATAACCCACAGAGATGCTACCGTCCCATTTTTCCCAGTGACCAGTAACCTCCCCTGCCTACACAGTCCCCTCACCTTCAGCACCTGCTCCAGGCTCTCCAGCTTGCTCTGCAGGCCCTGGCTCTTGTGAAGGGCTAAGTCCCTCTCCTGTGTCACCCCCAGGAGCTGGCCCCTCAGCTCCACATTCTCCCACTCCACCTGGAAAGGGGGCAATGGCAGGGAGCTGGGTGTGTGAGCCTTGTCCCACCAGCAACTTCACCAGGGGAAAATAGTACCCTTCATACTGTGGCACAGTTCAGCGGGTAGAGGAGACCACCCCTTGCCCTAGCAGGAGCCCAAACCCCACAGCACCTGGGCAGAGCTGCTACCTGCTCCTTCTCTGTGGCTCTCCCACTGAGCCGAGAATTCTCCTCCACCAGGCGGGCATTCTCATTCTGGGCTTCTCTCAGCTGCAGTTCCTGAGAGACCAGAGGAGCTCTGGGGAGGGAACCCAGCACCCACACTCCTCCTCTCCCCTTACAGAAGACCCTGCCCTCCCAGACAAGGCCTGTCCCACCTCCCACTGGAACCTGCATCAGCTGGGAAAGGAGAGCCCCACAGAACAGGAGGCAAAGAGTGTTCTTGAGCGCAGGAGGGGTGAACGCAGAGCTGAGGGTGCCCACCACCTGGCTGGCCTGGGAGAAGGGAGCAGCTGGCCTCTGGGAGGCCCTGAAGAGCTCACCAGCTCCTCACATCGCCTCTGCTTTTTCCGGGCTTCCTGCTCCAGGCTCTCGCATTTCTTCCGCTTCTTGCTGAGCTCAGATTCCTGTGGGGTCAGAACCGAGGCTCTTCATGTGGGAAGGTAGATCTGCCCACAACAGGTCTTCTCTGACCCTTGATCTCGGACTCACCAGCTGCTGCACGCTCTGCTGTTTCTCTGGCTTCCCTAGGACCACGGGTGGGTTTTCCACATCCTCCTGGAGTATGGCCTAGAAATGCCCAGGGGCAGGGGCCTGGCACCTGAGAACTGGGCCCCAAGGCAACCTGCCCCCAGGCCAGCCTGTCCTGGCAGGTTCCCACCCATTTCAAAGTCAACAAAGAGATCCCTGCCAGGCAAATGGGGTTGCTGCTTGCCCACCCCTCGCATCACCTCCAGCTGATGTGGAAGTGCAAGTGCTGCACCCCTGTGTCCTCCAGACACAGTGCTTTGAGATCCTGAGACCCATGTGTGCCCTGGGAGATGGGTCCCTTATCCAGGCCAAAGCGTTCCCTTTTTAGCTTCCAGCAGCAGCGCTGCTCTGCACTCAGTACTGTCCTACGTGTCCTTCAGCAACCGGCAAAGAACTGGGAGGCTGCTTGGGCCTCCAGGGATGTGGTGTTCCCAGAGCTAGGGATTCTGGATCATCCAAATGTGCGCTTGGCCTAGAGCAGTGCAAACCTCCTAGTTCCTCCCAAGCCCACCGGCTCACTTCTCATTCATCCGTACAAACTCTAGAGGAAGGCAGGTCTTCATGGGAGGTGCGGCTCCCTCCCTGGGCCAGGCAGAAAGGCAAAATCTGATCCAGAAGCACCCTGCACCCGGAGGCCTGGGTCGCTATGGAGTCCCTTCTCCTACCCCTCTTCCCAGAAGGAGGTGAACCTAGGTATTGCCCAAAGAAAAAGGATGGAGACGAGCCAGACTTCTAAATTCTGGGTGTCCAGAGTGGGGTCCCACGCGACAAGGGCTCTCTAAGCCCGGCTCCTGGTGAGGGTCGCGCGTACCTGGAGCCGGGGACGACGCCCCGCCTTCCCCGGGTAGCAGGGACCGGGCCTGGCCGACTAGGCGGGCGCTGAAGGGGGCGTCCCCGCGCAGCGGCAGCGGGAGGTGGCGGCTCAGACTGAACCCCGGGCGGCTGCCAGGGCAACCAGGGATTTGCGGGCGGGCTGTACCACTGGCTGCACAGCAGGGGCGGTGGGGCGGGCCCCGCGGGGCGCAAGCCTGCGGAGGGCGGACCCGAACCACGGGGGCGCGCGCGGCGCAGGTACGAGCGCGAGAAGACTGGGCGGGAGGCCCGGTTCCCAGTCGCGAAAGCTCCCCAGACTTGGGAGTGCTCACACCACCGCCGGGTCTTCGGGGCTCTGAGCGTGGTGCAAGGGGAGATCCCGGCGCTTCCCCCACCCCCCGTCTACACACACCCACACACCTGGCCTTGCGCCGGCGCTCACCTCTCCCGGGGCCCCGGGGGCGGGGGCCCCTGCCCTGGCCAAGGTAGCGTAGCCTGGGGGCCGGGGTGGTGAAGGCGGCTCCTGCTGGTTGCGTAGGGCGATCTGCTTCTGCAGCCGCAGCACCTCCCGTTGGGACTCGCGCAGCAGCCGGTCGAAGTCCCGCACGTGGAGCCACTGGGGGCCCTCCTGAGGTGGGGGCGCCGGGGTGGAGTGTCAGGTCTAACCCCTGCTCGCCCCCACGCTATTGCTGGGAGAGCTTGGATGCCCGAGAGAGAACGTACATATCCTCCCGTGCATACATGCATCGTCATAGGTGCATGCCTGTACAACCACATGCTTCTGGAATGTGCAGACATTAACAGTAACTCGTTTACTGGACATTCGCAGTGTGCCCGGCACTGTGCTAAATGCCTTGTTAACATCGTCTCACACAAATGTGAAGTATGTGTGGATTCATACAGCCAGACCCACTGGCTTACCGCCAGAAGCCTGGAGCACAGAAATTCTTAGGTCTGGGACTCGCGGCTCCACCGCCTTCAGTTCAGGCTCCCTCTCCCCGCTCCCACCTGGGCCGTTGCCAGGGGAACCTACTCCCCAGCAGCCTCCATCTTCCCGCCTCATTTGCATACATTAACATCTAATCCACATCTCACACGCCAGGCAGGCGGCCCTGTGTAGGGCTGTGCTGGAAGGGGTGACCAGGGCCTCCTCGCACCTTGCCAACCAGGGTGAGCCTGGCCTGCAGCTCCCTGCACTCCCGCTGCAAGGCAGAGATCTGCTTGTCCTTGGCCAGGAGGGCACTGGCTGTCTCACTGAGGTCCCGGGCTCTCTGGCGGGCCATGGCCTTCCTGCACAACTCCAAACTCGCCCCCGGACGGGGCACAGGGGCACTCACCTGGTCAGAGGACGAGTAAGGCCAACAGTCAACTGAGGGCTGGGGCACTTCTTCCACTCTTCAGCCATTCCCAAAGAGGGGTTAGGATGAAAACCTAGAAGTGTGGCCTCCCGCTTCTACCCTGCTTCTGGGGCTTTAGGGGACCAACAGCCTCACTTGACCCAACCCCAGCAATCCTCAAGCAGTACTGAAAGGGTTAACTCCGCATCTAGTTTAGGTACAAAGGAGGCCGCTAACTGAGGGCTGCCTCTGTGATGGGTCTTGATCCCTGCCCCCACCTGCTCTGCATCCAGGGATGAGCCCAGCAGCAGGCTGCAGCTGGCACCAGCACGTGGTTATCCAGAACCTGCTCCCTGCTTGCTCAGGAACTCCCCACCTAGCCCTTCCCTCCCTCCTGTAGCCCCAGAAACCTTCAGCTTCCTAGCTTGGCCAGAGTTTGCCCTTCCTAGACCTTGGCCCCTGGGTTCCTGCTTTCCTGGATGCTAAGAGTTCATGACTTCCAAGCCCCAGCCCCTCAGGCCCAGCCTTGGCTCCCCTGTTCCCTGGTCACCCAGCCTCCATGCAGCAGCCTCCTGTCCTCACCACCTTCAGGTTAGTCTCCTGCAGCTTCTGGGCCCTTTCCTCCAGGCGTTTGGCAATGATCGCCAGCTCAGCGTTCTTCCGCTTTAGCCTCCGCACCTTCTCCTCCGTCTCAGGGAAGCTGCTCTTCCTCTGGCAAGGGGTTGGCCAGATTTGGGGCATGTGGGGATCATCCCACAGACCCAGTCCTAACGGCCCAGGCCTTGGGCTAGAGCCCTGGGCTCACAGTGGCATCCTTAGCAACTCTGGATGGGGGTTCACCCTCTCTGGGGGTTGGGGTCACATCACCTCCATGTACCCACCACTTGGGGGAATGATCATGGGATGAGGAGGAGGATGCTGAGGCAGACGGCTGGGGCAGCTGAGTCTGCCTTCCCCTAGCTCCAATCAGGACCCAGGACTCGCTTTCCAAGCCTCACCAGCATCTGGTTTTCCTCCTTAAGGATGGCACAGCGCTGCTGCAGCTCTTCCAGGGCCCTCAGCAGCTCCAGATTGGGCCTGTCCCCGAAGCCCATGTTCAGCTTACTCTGCCACAGGAAAGAACAGGGCCCAGGGCTTCAGGAACCCACCCTACCTAGTCAAAGCCCTCCATATGGAAGCATTACCCACTCCACTCTAAGGAGACATGGAGACAAGGTTTGCCCCCATGTCCCAGACCTCCAGAGGGGAGCACAGAGGCCCAGGAGAGGGGCTGTCTGGTTCTCCCAGCCTACACTGGCATCCCCCGACCCTGGGATCCTCTCTGCTAGTCCCCAGTTATTCCCACACGTGCCCATCTGCTCCTAGGAAATGACAACTCAAGCTCCTGTCCCCACCCCTCCAAGCTCCTATGGCCCCAGTCCCTTTCCCTCCCCCAAAGTCTTGGTCTCCCCATCTTCTCCGGGAGATTGCTCACACCCACTCCAAACCTTGTCCTCCCTGGTTCAGGCCCTCACTGAACCTCCTCCCCTGAATCTGCTTCCTCTGGACTCTGATTGCAAATACCTCCACACACAACCCACCCCTGCCCCCGTCCTCCAGCCCCCAAGGACAGACTCGAGGAGGAGGAGACAAAACAGACACAGAGAGATTCACAGAAGGAGGGGTAGGGGCAGGGCTAGATCTAGACAGATAGATGGCAAAAAAAAAAAAAAAATGGAGCCACTGAGATTCCTGAAGAAGAGAGGACAGCTACAGAGATGGACCCACAGACCCAGGCAGGCCAGGAGAGGAGAGGTGGGCAATGGGGTTGCATGTCATGTCCAGGCTGGAGGGCATGATGAGAGGCCCCCACCTCGCAGACCCCAGTGCTCCACAGCTCCCTTACCTTAGGGAAAGCCTCCACCTCCTCGTCCTCCAGCCTTGGGCAGCCAGGTCTGGAGCTCACTGCTTGCTGCCCCAGGCTGGGCAGCCCAGGCATTCCTTCTGGGTCAATGTCCCCCGCTGGCCTGGGGCTTCGGGCTCCCTCGGGCTCAGAGTTCTCCTGAGGCTTCTGTTCTCCAACCCACCGAGCTGCTGGAGTTTCGGCACTCCTTGGGGCTATGTCTTCAGATTCAACCCCCTGAACTGGAGTCCAGCTCTGCCAGGCTGGCAATGCCCATGGCTCCATGGCTCTGGGGTTCCTGAGCCGTGGGAGGGGTGTCAGTTGCTCCATGATACTGCCAAGGGGCCCCAGGACCCAGACCAGGGGACATCACCCAGCCAAGTGGAGGGGCTGGCAAGGGTCATGCCAGGCCAGACCCTTTCCTCTCGGAGCTTTTGGCTTCACCGAGGCTACATCCAACGCTGGCTGAGTTCTTCCTCACCCACAAAGGAGGCTGCAGGAGTCCGGGCTGCCAGAGCTGGAGCTGGGGTATGCGAGCTGTATTTGCTCCTGGCTGTGCGTGTGCATAAGTGTGTGGAGGAACGCGAGTGTCCCCGTGGGGGTCTGGAGGATGTGCAGGGGCCACCGAGAGCAGCGCTTGGGTGAGGGTGTGTGTGTGTCTCCAGGTCTGTCTGTGTGGGTCAGTGCTGTCTTGCGTGTGTTTGGAGGACAGATGCCCCCATTTGTGTGTGTTGGGGGCTGGTCGTTCTGTGTGTCACTGTCTGTGACTGTTTTGGAGTTACCAGCTGTTTCTGTGTGTGTGGGTGTCTGTATTGCAGGGCTGTGCCGGCGTGTGATGCTGTCACTTGTATCTGAGCTCTCAGTGTTGTGCAGCTATGTGCATCATGTCGTTGTGTGTCCAACAGCGTCTGCAAGTCTGGCCATCCATCACAACCCCTCAGTCTGGCTCGGGTCCACAGGAGCTGCTTGGAGTGATCCCCAGTGGTCCAATGGGGTCCTTTATCTCTGGCTCCTCTCTCCGATGCTGCTCCCTAGCAGCCGGGCTGGTCCTAAGGAGGCCTGGGGCGGTGGGCTGCTTGCCTCATAGTCTCTGTACCTGCTGACCTCAGCTCTGGAGACTGCAGGGGTCCCCTATAGTCCGGGAGCCCCGAGATGGTGGGCGCGGAGGAGGGCTGAGCCTCAGAATGCAGTAGGGGGGGGCAAGCGGGAGAAAGCCAGCCCTCCCCCTCCCTCCCTCCTGCCCACCAATAGGAAGGCGGCTGTTGGTTTCCATGGTGATGGCACTGGACTGGTGGGCTGGACCAGCAGGCAGGGTCGGGACAGAGGGAAGAACAGGTTCCTCATGGGATCTCGACCCAGGGCACTCCTCACACCCCCACACCTTCCTGGGTAGAGGCAAGGGGGCTGCGGTCTGTCCCTCCCACATCAGTCCAAGCCCAAGCCCAGTAAAAACAGAGACAGAGTGGTGACAGACAGAGATCCAGCCACAGAGAAGAGCAGCAATAGAAAAGATGAGATTTAAGATGAAACAAAGAGATGGAGAAATCAAGAGATTGAAAACAGGAAGATTTAAGCAAAAAGACAGAGGGAGAAATAGAATGAGATAAATGCTTCAGCTTCCTCCTGGCAGACTTGCCTGTCTCAGGCCAGCAGGGGTGACCACATGGTCTGTTAGGCTGGCTTTGCCCCAAACTGTAAGGAAGTTCATCTGCCAACCTTAGGCCTTTTTGCTATGGGAAAATGGCTTTTGGGGCCAAGGATGTGGGAACACCCGCTCCCCCAAGTCAGCCTGTCTGTGTGGGCAGGGGTCTTGATTGACCCTCCAAAGACAGGGGTGTTGGGAGAAGCCACAGGGAGGCAGTCCCTCTCCCTGCTGAACCGGGGACTCAGTCTGTCTGCACATAAGCCAGTCTCAGCCAAGGTCAGGGACCCTCGTGTGGCACCCAAAGGGAATAGCAGTGACAACGTAAGCCACAAGGCCCCTGATCAAGGGCTCCACCCAGGCCAGAGCTGAGGGAACCATTGGGAGGCCTGTGGGGAGGAGGGGATGTCCACACTTCCCTGAAGCAGTGTGCAGATCAGCATGTGCACCCCTGCATGATGTGTGTCGCTAACGTCTATTTCAGGGTACATACGCATGCCATTATGTGTATGCATTGTGTGGTGTACACATATAAAACAGACATGTATTTATCTCTGCACATGTGTGTGGGAGCACTGTTAGTTTATATATGTACACACATGTATGCATGTATGTATGTGATATTATGTGTCTGAGTCTCATTGGGTATATATGGGTGTGCATGGTTCTCCATGTGTGCCATTGTATGTCTACTTGCCAGAGGGTCTATTTGCTCTTATGTATGAGGCTATGATCGTGTGAGTGTACAAATTACATGTGTGTCACAATATATGTATATGGATTCCATTACATGGCATTACACAATGTACAAGGACATTTTATTTTGCTTATATATAGATATCACCATGTATCTATCATTTAGTTATCATCATATATGAATATGTCACTATACACATATATGGAACCAATGTTTATTATGTGGATGGTACTGTGTATTTGTATGCTCTTTTACATGTGGCACACATCCTATGTGTTTATACCATTGCATGTGTGTGTCCTATTGAATACGTATGTCCTGAGTGTGTGCCTATCTCTGTGTTGCTGTGTGACATACCAGCCATGTCACAATTGTATATGGCACTGTACATATGTGTTGCTGGCCCATGTGTATGGGGCCCCTGTGTGTATATGTACGCCCATGCCGGTGTGTGTGCTTTGTATATTGGTATCTGTGCCCTTGTCTATGTGTAAGATGCTTTGTGTATGTGCCACAGTGTGTTCGTACCCAACTCTTATACTACCAAGAACCCCCTAGACTTGCTTAGATTAGAATTGGAGGTAGGCAGTCTTCAGTTTGGGTGTGTGGAAAGCAAGTGGAAGGCAGGGCAGGGCCAGAGCTAGGATAAAAGGCCGGAGGATCCTGCATAACCCTGCCCCTCCATGTCCTGCCCCCTTTCCTCCCTTTGCTGTGAGGTCTCACCCAGCCTCCTCCTTCCCCAGCTGCAGCCTGGCTAGGCCCAGAGCCCTCTTCTGGTCTCCCAGGCACGGCTGAACCCATTTCCCTCAGGAGAGTGAGAGTAATTCTCCCGCTCAGCCCTTCTGTGTGCCTGCCCCATCCATGTTCCTGCTAGGCCCACTTGGTACCCCCACCCAAACAATAGAGTCTCAGACAAAAGAGAAGCAGAATCCATTCTTTATTAGTGTTGGGGACCCTGGCACCACCCTTCAATTCCCCCCATCTACCCTCCTTTCCCGCCTCTTCCTCGGCCTGGCATCTGTCCACTTGCGGCTGGGCCCCCTGCAGGGGCCTCTCCACGGCTGCCTCAGGTCCAGAGGTCCAGCCCTCCCAGACCTTGGGGCAGCAGAGGAGCTAATGTGGCATTTCCTTGGTTGGCCAGAACCAGGCGGGACAGCACCATCGGAGGCAGAGGAGGCCTTTAGGGGTCTGGGATGGGTGGGGAGGGTGCCTGAGGGGCTCACCTGTCGCTCACGGTCCTGAGCGTTGGAGAAGGATGGTGGCGGGCGGCAGTGGCGTAGTCTCCGAAGCCCACAGTACACTCATCCATAAAGTAGGAAACACTACACCCTCCAGTGCTGTTAGTAGTGCTTTCTACTTTATGGGTGACTGCACTGTCTGTCTGTCCGTCTGTGGATACTCTTCAGGCCGCCCGTGCCTCTTCCTGACTCCTGCTTGGAGAGCCCCCGGCCCTCCCATGGCCTCTCAAGACCCGACCACCCTGCCCCAAGGCCCCCAGAGGGCCCGCCCTGTGCCTTGTGGGCGGTGACTCAGCATGGCGCCAGACGTGCCTCCTCTACCTCCCTCCCCCCACTTCCTCTTTGGTTCCCTCTTCCCTTCCCCTGGGGCTCCACCCCATCCCCCCACTTTTGAGGACACTCAGGTAGAGACCACGGCTACTCTGGAAGTCTCACCACAGACCCCTGTTCTGACACCCTGGGTGCCTCATCCCAGCCACACTCTCTCTCCTCCCCGAGTCCAGCCGAGGCAGCCACAGCCTCCTCCCTGCTAGGCCTCAGGCCCCAGCCTCCCAACCAGCCCACAGTTCTGACTCCCTCGCTGCCCAGCGGCTCTCCAGGCAGAAGCCCAAGGCTATTGCAACAGAGACGGTAGCCATGCTGGGTAGAGGGAGACGCTCAGTGCCTCCTGCGGACACCCTCTGCCATCCCCACCCTACTCTCCAGCCCTAGTCCCTTGAAGCCTTAGGCGGCTCTTTCTTTATCAGGCGGCCAGGAACCATTTTACCTTCCTTGTCTAGAGGGAAGTCAAGGCCCAGGACTTTGAGGAACTGTCCCACCATGAAGACCGGTAGATCTGAGTTATTGCAGTTCTTTGCCTAGAGCTTTCCCAGGAAGCCTTGGCACCCAAGCCCCTGAAGCCCCTCCCCAAAGCATCTTCCCCCAGGGTCTGCAACCCAAGGGCCTTGTCGCCCCTTGAGGCCAAGCATAGAGGCACCCCAGTTGGAGCTGAAGTGAGGTTCGGACTCTTACCTGATGTTGCAGGGCTGAGGGGAGCAAGCGCTGTGCTCCAGGCTCCCAAGTGGGGTTCCCTTCAGGGAGGGCAGGGCTTATAACCCCAAGGCCACGTGGGACAGATCTCAGGGCGCCCAACGGTCTTGAAGCCCGCCCCCACACCGCAGTGGAGATTAGTGCACCCCTCCCCTCCCAGGGGAGGACAGACTGACAGGAAACCAGAGACAAGGCTGGGTATTGGCGGGAGAAGGACTGAAGAGACCATCTCATACATCCTGGGCAGGTGGCTTCCGGGACCCCAGGCCTGCCCTTCCCCCATGGCACCAGCTCCATGGATGGTTCAAGAGTCTGGGACTGACCCAGGGCACTGGGGGTGACCCCAGGAGAAAAGGGCTCCTGTCAGGGCCCTTGGTGAGTGCCACAAACACAGAGTCTTGAACTCCAGCCCAAGAAAAGGACCTTTTCTCTGCGCCCCACCCCCGCTACCCCCAGCCCCAGAAAACTGCCTTCTCTTCCAGATAGCACCATTCAGACCAAGCTGTGATTCCCCTATTTGTACTGCTCACAATAGAGGCCACAGAGATTCAGATGCATGAAGGAGGGTCTGGTCCAGCACAATGCCCTCAGCACCCCACAAAACCACCCACCCCCTAGCCCCAACCTGCAGGAGCCCAGGCCTGTCCCCCCAGCATAGGGGTCACACTTTGGCCTGGTGGGCCTGGTGGCACTAGACTGGGTGTTCATGCTTCCCTTGGGGCCTGTAGGGATAGGACAGCAGGGATGTGCCGTGGTGAGGACCAGGGTCTAAAGCAGGGCATGGGTGCCCTTGGGTTTGGAGGAGTGGGGGGGGAAGACGCTCTGAGGGGAGGTGCTGGTAGCCACCGGATGTGGGCATGGACCCGCCCACCTGCATGCCACCCCCGCTTTCCCCATGGGGAAGGCAGGAAGCTGCCCATCCCAGGGCCCCTGGCTGGGGGAAGGGAACAGGGTGTGGGGTCTGGGCCACACATTTTCCCCCCCGTTCTCCAAGCCTTTCAGTGGGCTTGGCCCTAGAATGAAGAGGTGCTGGGGTGGAAAGTTACCCAATGACTCCTTTTGTCTGGGCCTTTTGTCTGGATCCCCCATTCAGGGTCAGGCCCACACAGACTTCAGGGAACTCTCATATTCAAGGCCCAGAAGAGGACTGGCCTGGGATGGGGGTCAGGGGGTGGAGGATAGCAGGGAAGGAGATGGCCTTGCATCCTTTCCTTTCCTTCGGGAAGGGTGACCCTCATTCTAGAAAACTGTTATCCATCCGGAGGCAGATAAAGGGGGAACAAGGGCCCTTCACCAGTTAGGGTCTGAAAAGACCGTGGTGAGAGGGGGAGCTGGCCAGAAATGGGACAGTGCTCCTTTAACAGACCACCGCTCCATCAGACCCTGGGTGGAGGGGAAGTGGCTGCCCCAGTGGATAAGAGGATAAGAATATCAAAATCGTGCAGTAACCTGGGTTTCCAGACCCCCACCCTTCAGGGCCCCTCCTCCTAGAGCATCTTATTCCCTCCTCCTGCCTAGAGAGTCCCCCAAAGCCATCACCTCCAAGGTGTTTTTTCCCAGCAC